TGATGTTTGGTTCAATTTAGTAGTTTAAAAATAAGGTTATGACTGTCAAAATTAAGATCTGAGGTTTTTTGACATTTCCTAACCTCCAAAACCACAAATTTGGGAAAAAGGAAGAGTTTTTGAATGTTTACAAGTATAATAAACAGAATCTTTCTGTTTGTGTGTTTGGTACTCTTGGCATTGACGTGTGTGCATGCCGGTCGTCCTTTTTGCCTCTTTCCCGAATTGCCCCCCGAGCAGAATGAACATTAAACGTTCGCCGGTTTGTTGCTTTAACCTTGCAGGCTCGATGTGCGTTTATTTCGCGTTTACATGCACTCGTACTCGCATGCGATCGAATTGAATTCGTGCAGGCATCACACGAGATGCACACTCCAAGATGGATGATACGTGTGTAATCGTTATCACTTATTAGGAACTTGCTTCTGCACAACATGCAGCAGCAGGTTTTCGCAATTTTTCTATCAGCGTATCGTTGTTATAGGCTGGGTTATATCTAAGATTAGGCTAGATTTGCAATTTGCAACTCGATACAGTTTCTTCGCGTCGCCGTGGCCGCTAATTATCCGCGTTGGGTTTCCTACTTCTCTCCAGCGCATGTTAATTTGCCGCATTAAACGGCATTCGTAATGACCGTCCGCGAAATAAAATAAAACATCAATTTGCGCAGCCTCTCTCCATCCGCCGCATCTAGTGCTGCATGTTGCATTGTACGTGGCTGTCTTTTATTTCATGCGTATTGATGAGTTTTGATATTTCGATGGCGTGTAGATGGTGCCGTTCGTCTCTCTCGCTGCGCGCAGGCTCATCCCACTTGACCACTTTAATGATTGATCCGCAATCATTACGTACGGATGGATGCTTCGTATAATGCACACACGTCCGTCCAGCAGGATGCAGAAATATTCATATCTTGTGTGTTGCGCCGTTTCTATCGGGCAGGAGGAGGCATGAGAGATGGATGGAGCGAGGCATGAATTAAAATTGGAAAAATGCTTAATAACGAGTCGAGAGGGACTTCTGTGCCTCACACAAACATACAGAGTGTTACATTCTCTACTAGAATCTAAATCATCAAAATAAAATTTCGCCTTGTATACGAAAGGGTTATAATAAGTAGTAATAAGTTAAGTTCGTGCGTTCGGTAGTCAAGTCTTCGAGTTGGCTGGCGTTTCATCGTAATGGGATGCTCGCTGTCAGCCGGCTAAATGCACGTTACTTTGTTACTTTAGTGACTATTATAACCAGTAAGGAGCTACCATAGTGACTGCGAATCTAATTCAGCTGTTTCATATGTGTCACTGTCAATTGAACACTGAAACATTCAAACAAATTTATTTTCCTATAAAATAAAAATTGTTTATCTTTTCCACGCAAATTCCGTAGTGTGACTAATTCAATTTATTAATTAACACCGTTCCGCACGCTTATTTTCGCTAGTTGTAAATCAGAATCCGCACGTATTTCGCGCATTGATGGCCACAGATCAGACGAACCGTAATTGTTTGCGGTTGGACTCCGCCCGCAGATTTCTCGGTGCATCAATGGGAAAAGCAACGAAAATGATCAAAAACAACCGAAAAAAAAACGTGGTCAGACATCGGCTGCGGTTTTCACGCATTGCGATTCTTCATTTCGCAGGGAAATAAACTTTAAGCTGTAAACCGTTAAGTGCAATTTTTCGCGCATATTTTCAAATGTTCCTATGATTAGGTGTGTAACAAGGCGCATAAAGCTGTAATAATTAACTATGGTGCTTTAGTCGTGCATAGTTAAATAGTTGAACATCTTGAACACTTAGCAATTAGTACTAGTTGAAGTTGCATGCTAAAACTTGACGAACTTTTGTGCTGCGAGTGCGAAAGAGAAAAACGCATGCCATTCAGCGGTTAAAACCAATAAAAAACCCATCGTTCAATACGCGAATGCACGAGTAATTTAATAATTTTGCGGTGCAATTTGTTCATTCATAGATTTGCAATGCGTAGTAAATCGTAGAGTAGTGTAAATAAAAACATGGCGGATGTTTAGCGCAATGAATTCGTTTTGTTTCGAGGATAATTCTTGTTATTCGGCCGGCGTTTGCAAATTTGTGGCCTTGGAGCTCCGCGCACACTGCGTCCGGTTTCTTTCCGATGGCCAGCCTCTCTCAGCGTCGGAGAATTATTATACGTGGGTCGCGGGTAGACGCCTGTGCCTGACCGCTAGCCCCCGCCGCCGATGGGGACCGGCGATAAATCAACGCGACCTTCGCGCCGACCGCACACCGGTGCATGTTCGAATTTACGCGAAATGCACTGCGCACAAATTAGGTTAAGACTGCTTAAGTAGATTTTGATGATCGATGCCCGGGACGCTTTAGACAGGCCAGTCCCAGACTAGGGTTTATGCTCGGCGTGTTTTTGCGCGCGGCGGCTGTTAACGGGATTGATAGATAGGAGCATTAGACGCCCGAAGGCGACGTTTTCCCGATGACGTAAAGAGAGCTGCGCTACGCGTGCTAGCCGGTCATCGACACTGCTATGAGTCGTGGGGGATGAGGGTCTGTCGCCGCCCCCCACAACCCGCGATGCATGCGCTCGCTCGTTTATACCTTCGAAAAATGGCATGCGATATCGGTTTGATAGACAACGGCTCGCCTGGGGTTCAGCGGGTGGTGCATACGTGCAGCTGAAAAGAAAAAGAAGCAACCGAACGAACGGTCAGTTTGGATGTGTTCGGATGGACAGCAGCGCTATGGAAGCGCGGGTTGAGGGCGGGTGCAGGAGGCGGCGCGCCGGGAAATTCTTTCCGTCTTTTTTCGCGAAGCACACGAATTCGGTGCGGGTGCATTCGTGCTCGGTCGCCAACCCAAGTCCTCCGCCGGCGCTGCCACCGCCGCCTCCGCCTCCGCGCGCTCGGCACGGTCGATATACGTGTGTAGTGACAGTAGTTTTTTTCCTCCTCGGAGCGCTGCACACGATAATTTTTCATTCCCCGGGTTTCGGCCCGCATGCACATGCACACACAGCTCAGACCGGCGAGAAGGCGACGTTGCCGCCGCCGACGCCGACGCATCGATTTTTACCGCGCGCGCTGCTCCCCGCCGCGGGGTGTCAATATGCGAACAGAACTGCAACACAAGCCGGGGCTCAAGCAACTCTTCTTTTCCGCGCTCTTTTACTCCCCGGCCCCAGTCGTTACCTCACCCCCCTGCCGCCGCACCGCCGCCGGCGTCGATGCACCTGATCCGTATCGAACATGCACAGGCGCCGCTGCACTCTCCAGCCATCGCTCAACATCTGAGTGCTGATCCCTATTATTCATCGTCATGTCATACCACACTCTATGCATCGAGGCATCATTTTTCATAATTGCGCATATCAACCGCCCGCCGCAACCGGCGTTATTGGCAAAGTCTTAAACTTTGCGGCTGTGGCCGGTGTCATTGTCCCGCTTTTGTACACACACATTTCGCGACGTGCGCTGCAATGTTAATGAACTACGGACGCGTAACCGCAACGTGCGTGTACCGACGTCGTCGCCGACCAAACCCTCTCGCCCGCCCCCTCCGCCGCCGCTCGCGTGGTGCGTATTACGCGTCGCGTTCGCTGTGATTCACTTTTAAATAGTCCGGCGTCGGTACGCGCCGCGCAAAATTTTGCGCCGGCTAGGGCTGCGTATTTTTAGGCGCGCGCGAGGTCGACAATCGCGACTGCCAGCCAAGACCAAGGGGGCCAAGGGGCATCGTCGTGTGTAACTAACTATAGATGAACGCACTCACCAGCAGCACGCATTCGTAATTTATGTTTTTTTTTTCATTCTCGTTTCCCTTTTCATCACAATCCACCCGACGTAAAATAGTGATGATAACTTTTTGCCGATTATTAGCCAGATTTAAGTTACATTTTAGTGCCGGTTCAATCCACTCGGTGAACCATAAATGCGTATCGAATAACGCGCGGCTGGCATTGTTTACGTGACGAAAAATCCAGAAATGCGCATCGAGCGTCAGGCAAATGAGCAACGACGCAACCGAACGCATGGTCGCGGTCGGGTTGTTATTGTTTGGACTTTAGGGTACCCGTCTGGCGACGTGCGGGGGAGTGTGCAGCCAGTGCACAGCGGCAGCATAGTCTGGTAAAGTTCGCGCGGCGGTGCGGTGCGGGAAGGGGGCCGAGGAAGGGTTATGCTGCGCGCCGGCTTGCGGAGGAACTCGAAACCCTTGAGAAGGTCGCGGAGATTGCACGTCGCGATTGGATTTTCGAAGCGGCGGGCTGCACTCTCTCGCATCTTCAAGACTTCCATGTCTAGCCTTGCTGGCTAAAAAGCTTACAAGAGAAAAAGAACGCCAATTGTGTCGTTCATGTCGTTTATATGTGAAAGCGCAGCGCTGACGCGTTCTTCAATGAAATGACATTATTAACGATTTTTTCCCTTCATGTCAAATAAATGAAAAAATAAAATATTTGAAAGTTTGTTGGTTTTGATGTGACTTTTGACAAAAGTGTTGAGGATCAAGTAAAAGTGAGAACAATTAGAAGGGAAATCGAATTAGAGGCGAAGTTGAGCCGGCACGGTGCGGCTCGCTGGCGGCGGCACGTTTCCCGGTTCAATCTCAATGTCTCGGCGGCGGCGAGAGTAAGCGGACGCGGTCGTTTTGTATCTTATTTGCTTCTGATGTTGAGGGTGGAAATTGTGTCAAAGTTTCGTTGCAAGTAGTGCGTAGGTCAGCAGCCTAACGGCAGCCGGCATTGCGTTACTCCGACGGCGGCGACGGCGGCACCGGCGGTGGTGGCGATCATGTAAGACAAGGAGAAGCTAGCTGCATTCGGTCCTTTCAACTCGAAAGTCGCGCGTCGAGTGCACCACAGTCTGCGCAGACGGAAAAAGGAGGCGGTCAAAGTGTGTGCCCGAGTGAGACGGCGGCGGCGAAGGCGGGGGTGGGTTGTATAGTTCGGATAGCGGAAGGTTTTTTGTGATAACGTGTGATATTGATTCGGGTGCAGCCGGGGCCGGGCGCGCGCTCTCACTTCCCACTGCATGTGCATCGCGTCCGTCGCGGGCTGCTGCTGCTGCCGCGCCGCCCCGCCGCCCCGCTTCCTCTTCTTCGTTCCACGCCGTCGTTCATCTCGCGCCGCGCCGGAGAGGACCGAGAGAGGAGTCTCGCGGGCCGCCGAATCGGACGGACGGACGGATCATGTCGCGGTCGCCGCGTCGCGAGCCAGTCGTGCAGCGAGCCTGAGCCACCACCAGCCAGCAGCCTGGAAGCGGGAACACACCACACACGCAAGAAGCGCACCGGCGCGCGCGGGCCGAACGGAAAACCACCCAAGCACGCGGGAAAAACTCGTACTAAACCACACACCAACTACCACCCCCTACGATTCAGAAACAAAGAACAGTTCGTACACTTCTTTGCACCGACTTGCATCATTTCGGAGTGAAACTATTTCAAAAGTGTTTGGCGTGAAGTTGTGCGGTTGCAACTAAATGGAGTTGCGTGTGCCGAGTGCGGACGAGTCCTCGCGCAGTGCGTTGAGGCAGGACAGTGTACGGTGTGTGAGTGTGTAAGGCAGTGCCATGTGGTGCGTGAAGTGACGCCGCCGCGCGTACGCACCGACGCACCCGCACGCAACAGGAGCGCGTGGGCCACGCGGTCGTCGCCGCCGTCGCCGCCGCCGCCACCCCCGCTGCTTCATTCACGCGCGCCCTACCAGTCATGGCGATCAACTTTTCGGCGTCGTTCGCCGCATGTCTGGCCGCCGGCCTCAAGGTGCCCAGACAGATCATGTACTGCATTTCCCAAGGTAAACGTCTTTGTGCTGAACATTTCCTGCATACACAACGACCACCCCAAGAAGGAAAACAAGTCGATGAAGAAACACGTCGAATTTTGCGCGACCAATTTATTTTCACATGTTCGAGAACAAAGAAATGAAAAAGAAAGAGCGCGCGCGGTGGTTCGATAATAAATTTCCCGGAGCGTTCGCTGCTGCTTTTTTTCTCTCGTTTGGCGCGCGCTCACTTGTCTTCCTGCAGTTTTTCCGACGGGCGTTTGTTCGCTCGATGTTGTTTTTCCTAGCTTCGCGTTCTTTCATTGCTCGCGCCCGATCGCCGCCGGAGTCTCGCAATCGTGTTGTTTTGCTGGCCGCGCGCTGACGTGCAATTTTTCGATGTAGATCTCGGGGTAGATAGCGCAAAAATTCGCCCCAAAACTCAAGACGGGGGAGGGGCTTGCATGCACATGCGATTTGCAAATTTGCATTACATTTTTTATCGCCTGCAACGAAATTATTTTACATTTCATTATTATGCTGAAACTCAGCATGAATATAATTAAATTATTTTGTGTACAAAATTCGATCGAAAATTGAGCGAATTTAGCAGATTTTGTTAATGAGTCAAATGTGTGCGCGCGCGATACCAGCCGCGCTGTGCCGTTTTCTCGAATTGTTTTGTTAATGGGTGTAAAAGCGAGTTCAGTAGGTTCTTCTCGCGGTTGGCTCGACGGGGCAAAAGAACCTTGAGTCTCAGTGTTGGGCGCGGGCAGTCGGGCACGAACCCGGCGACGAGATTCGCTCCGCGGTCCAAACGCGACGCGGCGACGCGACGACTCGCCGAACCTGGACCAGCACCAACGCCGCCGGCCGCTGCAGTCTGGCCGCGATGACTAAACCTTGACCTTGCGTCTACTAATCTTCCACAATATATATTTTTTATCCGTCGCTCCGTCGCGCTCGATCCCACATACAACCGCACCATGCATGTGTGGCGCGGATGGCCCAGACCGGCCCAGACGGTGCGCGGTCGGACCTGCCGAACGCTGGCACACACTCGAAAACTGGTTATTCATGGTTTAATCGCGCGCCGCATATGCATGCTCACACAATGCAGCCGCGGCAAAACGATGCGCCCTCCGCGCGCACCAGCGGCCGGCCAACGCACGTGATTGATAGAATTCTTTCGTGCGCCGGGCATTCCAATAATAACCTAACTCAACAAAACTTACTTTTACTTTCGGAGCCTGCGTCTCGCTGCCCGAGATGAAATAAAACTGGTTTTTGTTTTCGGGTTCATTTCGTTTTCATTGCGGTGCACATTCCTTTTATTTCCAAACTACCGGATTGTTTTATGATTCGATTATAACCAAACTTCTGTTGTTTAAAATTCTAGGCAACCCAGTTTACATGAAATTCTACCGTAGAAATGATGAACACTTTCGAATTAAAATCCAACCAAAACAAGTGCGTTTTTCATGTAGATATCGCAAATTTACACAGTAATTCACCGATAAAATCCTGACCTTTTTGAAATTTTAATGCATCAATGATAATATAATGATGATGATAAACTTTAACTTGCAAACACACAAAAAGACGAGATTCGACTTTGACTTCCTGAAATATTTTTACACATCGGCGATAAAATGCACGCGTCTCCTAAAAATAAAACATTTCCAGATTCGAGCGCACCGTACGTTCTCTACAAAGACGGCATTGATCGCACGCAGATGCAGTGGGGCTCGCAGGAGAGCTACGCCACCAATCTTGCCGCCCACCAACAGCAGCAACAGCAACAAGCCGCCGCACAACAGCAACAGCAGCAACAACAACAACAGCAACAAGCGCAGCAAGCACCTCCGCAACAGCAGACAGCTTCCGGCGCGGCCAGTCCACAGCAATCCCTGAATCCCGCCAATGTTCCCCTGGGTGTTGAAGCCGATACAGTTGCACCTCGTGACCAAAGCTTACCCTCACCGGCGCCATCTCCTTATCCCGCTACACAAGCAGAGAGCCGAGATGATGATCTCCCCAATGATCAACCGTCAATGGATATGGACACCCGGCCGGCGTCCCAATGTTTTCCACCTTCCGATATTAACCAACAGAGTTATCAACAGTATGCTCGTGCACCTCCACCGCCAAGCGCACCGCCTCCCATGCCTCCACACATGCTGGGCGCCGGTAGCTTCTCAGCGTTACATTATCTTAAACAACCTGGAGTTATGGCACTCACGTCCCTCGGTTCCGACGGGCCGCAGTTGGATCAGTACAATAACATGCAAGACATCCGGTCCGCTGCGGCCGCTGCTGCGGCAGCAGCATCCCTTCCGGACGTTATACAACAGCAGCAACAACAACAGCAAAACGGCATGAAGAACTCTTCTAAAGGACTGGGCAATGAGCTGAGGCTGTTTAAATGTCTCACCTGCGGGAAAGACTTCAAGCAGAAGAGTACTCTGCTGCAGCATGAGCGTATTCATACCGACAGCCGTCCCTACGGCTGTCCCGAGTGCGGTAAACGCTTCCGTCAGCAATCACATCTCACGCAGCATCTGAGAATTCACGCCAACGAGAAGCCCTATGCGTGCGTCTACTGCGAGCGGACCTTTCGCCAGCGCGCCATTCTCAACCAACACTTGCGCATTCACTCCGGTGAGAAGCCGTACGAGTGTCCGGAGTGCGGGAAGCACTTCCGACAGAAGGCCATCCTCAACCAGCACGTCCGCACACACCAAGGCGAGCGCCCCCTAACTTCGCTACTCTTTTTTTTCAATCCGAGAAAAAAAAGGGCGGCCACACTCTTACCTTCAGCCCGCAAAATTTTTACGAAATTTCACTTTTACTGTTTTTAAAGTTGATTCCTGGCGTTTAGGGGTTTGTGCCGAACGGGCGGTTAGAGTTTGGTCGTAACCTAAACTAAGACCATGCATGATATTTACTCCCACAAGCAACTAACCAACACGTTATTTGTTATATTACTAACGGTATATTCTTTGTTTTGTTGTTTCTACAGATGTAAGCCCTCACCTGGTGTTTAAAAATGGTATTCACCCAACGCTGTGGCCGCAGGATGTTCCCTTCCCGCCTGATGAAGGTAAGGAAGAAGTGGCGTCGACGTACGGAGACGGCGACTCGCAAACGGACCGCGGCTGCTTTTCACCGAACAGCGTCACCGGCAACCTTCAGTACCCGTCGTACTTCAAAGACCAGAAAGGCATGAGCCATTCCGTCTTCGGCACATCGCCCAATTTCGGCGCCCTTCACTATCTGAAGCAACAACAGGGCAATGGCAAAGGACTTCCGGACGTGATACAACACGGCCGCTCCGCCGGCATGCCGCTGTACGTGCGTTGTCCCATCTGTCAAAAGGAGTTCAAACAAAAGTCCACGCTCCTACAGCATGGCTGCATACATATCGAGTCGCGTCCGTACCCTTGCCCTGAGTGCGGCAAGCGTTTCCGACAGCAGTCGCACCTCACGCAGCATCTGCGTATCCACACGAATGAGAAACCCTATGGTTGTGTGTACTGTGGTAGGAATTTCAGGCAGAGGACGATCCTCAACCAACATCTGCGCATCCACACAGGCGAGAAACCGTATAAATGCCAGCAGTGCGGTAAGGACTTCAGACAGAAAGCTATTCTAGACCAGCATACCAGGACGCATCAGGGGGATCGACCGTTTTGTTGTCCGATGCCCAATTGCCGCAGGAGGTTCGCCACCGAACCGGAGGTGAAGAAACACATCGATAATCACATGAACCCGCACACGTCCAAGTCGAGACGCGAGTCCGCCGAGTCCAAACTGAACGTGAATAACAACAGTTCGACGCCCGGTGGTGGCAATGGCGGTGGTAACAATAACGTCCCTACAGGCAATGGCGCGAGCGTTGGCGGTACTTTAGGTGGTGCATTGAATATCGGACGTGGGGCACTCACACCAAGCGCCGTCATCAAACCAGAATTGTACTTCCCGCAGTGCTACGCACCTGGTTTCAATCCTCCGACGAGTCTGGCGCAGTTCCCTTCCGGTACGCCAGAGTTCAAGCCACCGAATGGGGCTCTGCCTGCGCAGTGACCGACTGCCGGTGGTGGTTGACGACAACACATCGATTAGACGAAGCAACACAACATAACGAAAGATTCGAAACAAAAGAAACGAGGGGAAACAAAAGAAACGCAAACAAAACACATAAAAATGAAAGGTAAATAATAACGAACAAACAAAAAACACTATCGTCGACAAAGGGGATGAAAGAATGATAAAAACAGTCACAAATCAAGAAAAGCTCGCTAGCATAGAAAACAATGGCGAATCTTTATTCTGTGTTATCTTTTATTTAGTTGGCGGCCGATATTTGTTTGTTTTTTTGATTAATTAGCCCCCGGAAAGCAACGCAATACTATTTTTACACATTATCGAACGCGAGCAAAGAGTTTGCAAAACTTTGATTTGCGCACACGTTCTAGATTAGTGGATTTTTAAACGTTTTTTAACGAATACGATTTTATTGTTTTTAGTTTTTAACGCGGTTGTACGAGATGAATACATGATGAATAATATGCCCAAAATGTGATCTCTTAAATGTAATATTTGTAATAATCGAGTAAGTTTTAATACGGGATGCAGGCCCCCCGGGTGTGGAATTCACCTTAAAACAAATGGAAATTTTAAATTAAATTTAACCCCCAAAAAGTAATCTCTCATAACCTCACTAAATTCGACGCGCGAAAATGATCTCATGATATGCAGCTCAAATGTTTTCAATTGAACTTGGGGAGAGGTACAAGACGGTACTTAAATTTTTGTTTTGAACAAACGATACGATTTTACAAAGTACATATATTACTACTTATTGTGCAATTAAATACGATGATACGTTACACAATCAAAACAACAAAACAAACTTATGAAATAAGTCTAAAAATTGCGCGCGGCCCCTCGTTGAATGTATTTTACACGAACAGACAAGATATGAACACATAAATCGTATACGATTAATTTTTATAAATGTAAATGGATATTTAACGGTTGATTATTGCGTGTGTAGGCGGGGATAAAGTGACACTTTTTCGGTTTTTCGACAGACGAGTGAATTTCCAAAGCGTATACATAAACGAAAGACGATTTATATATAAAAATTATATATAAATATATTTAAACACGTAAATTACGAGAATTATGAATGTAGTCCAATACGACTGTAAGGCACATAAGACACACGTCTGAATTAATTTTTATCTCATAGTTTATTTTTTATTTTTTAATGCAACTTATTAATTGTCTCGATTTCTCTCTGTTTTTTTTTTACATAGTACTTGTAAATTTACCCTATACATATTATGCATATTGATTTTTGATTATTATTTGATAACTTTTTTTGTAAAACCTATATTTAGCCGTTAATTAATGATGGTGTGAAACGATATTATTTGTTTTGTTTTTCTTTTTAATTTTCTTTTTCTGCACTTTTTTCGATTTCTTAGCGATACACACACACAGCAATTATACGACGTAAAAGGTAATATTTTAAATGGTTACTGTTTTGCGGATAAACCAGAAACAAACGATTGATAGCGTTATTTTTCTATAAATGTTACGCAGTGAGCAAATCTTTGATCACGACGCCATTTTCTTATTAATGTTTAACTAAATAATCACTGATTCTTCACCAAGTTAATAACAAGAGAGTCTTCCGGTGGTTTTAAACTTTTATTTTTGCCACAATTCGCAATAAATAACTAATTCCCAACTGGGAATTATTAAAAACACTTTTATTTTGTTTGTATATACATGGTTAAAGCATAGAAAAGCAATTTTCGTGTACTAGTGCAAAAATAGACATTTTGTACTAGTGTGAAGTCTTCAACATAGATGGTTTAATTTAATTTCATGTTAGTAATTTAAAAATAGCCAATTTGCCGCCGTCGCCGCAATAGCAATTACAGTGTCTTCCATAAACTGCATAAATAGTTAACGTAACGAAGCAGATACAAATGCAAATACTACAATACTTGAATTTATATTTACAATAAACAGTTGCCAGATGACAGATACAGATTTAATTGTTCCGCTATTACCGATACCGGCTATTTTGTTGACAAGTTTACAGATTTTACAAGAGGTAGCATAAACAGAATCAATTGCCATAAACAATAAGACAGACGTTGTGCGTGTGTCATTTGTTTGTTACATAGGTACATAAATAGGAAACGAAACAATGGATTAAAGATAGAAATAGAAATAACCACAGCGCCATCGGGAGACTACTCGCTACTGAAAACTGATAATTAAACAAACTTGTAAGCTTTGCAATCCCTCCAAAGCAGTCTTACTAACATTTTTCGTTTTTTTTTAACTATAAATTTCGACTTTTAAGATATTTAACACGTTTTTAAATTATTTCTTTAGTTGTTTATCAAAATTGTATAAAATTTCAAAATTGGAAGTAAAACAATTAAATTGGAGCTAAAAGACTTATCGAATCGTGATAGCATTTAACTTTAATTATTTTTAATTATAATAAAAAATGCGGTTAAGGAATATGTATTTACTCTTTGGATATTTGGCAAGGATGAAGAATAAGGGTCTAAACCAGAATAAAACAATGTTTTTTTTAATTATTAAAACATTTAAACACTAAAATTTAAAATTTTAGATTAGATTTTAAATTAATTGAAACAGAAACGTTTAATTCTTATTAAAATTGCTGCCTAAATGCTTTTAAACTCGTTTTTTGTTTGAAATTTATCTGGTTTATGACACTTTGACTCTTCCTATGTCAAAATATGATTTCTAAATGTTTGAATAAATTGTCCTAGACAACCCAACACAGAGAAACAGGTAATCTTCGCAGAAGATCAGTTCTCGTAACATTTTTCATCGATCATTAAAATCTACGGAATACTAAGCATTAAAATAACTTACAATCTAAGAATAAGCTGCAAGCTATAAGTATACATAAAGTGAATAAGTGAAAGAATACTTATTATTAATAACAAATTGCAATTATTTCTACTATATCTATGTACATAATATACATAATATTATATTCATATACATACATTTAAAGATAATTATAATTGACAACTACAACTAACGATTGATCACACGCATTTAAGATTACAAAAAAAAATACATGTACACACACATTCACACACACAAAATTACTATACCTAAAATAAACAAATTCGTCGCATATATTATACGAATATATACGATTTACATTACGAGATTTAAACGTTCAAAAATAACAAGAGATACGATGATGATGCGTGACACAAAGACAAAGTGATTATGAAACGTGTGCAATGCAAAATGATGCTGATATACAGTGTGAGAAACGAATAGAGTTAGGTTTTAGGTACGGATAAGGAGAGATAAAAGATTGCTTTCTATCATGTTGTTATCCGTATTGTTTCATTTATACACGCAGGACATTACAAGAAGTCACTAGGAAAATCAAATTTTAATGGTAGTTCTTGTAACGCTCTGTATAAATGTGGAAATTGATAAATTGACAAAGCAAGCGTTCGGATATTGCTTCGAGTTGTGTGAGTTTTTCGTTTCTCTTTAGTTCAGTATGGAAAATTTAAAATTAACATTCGGATTTTACCTTCTCATTCATATTCTTATTCTTAAATCTTGTTATACTTTGACTGCGCGTAAACGAATTTATTAATCTCTCATATTTTTACACAATACAAGATAATAAACGTATTGCAACAAACTACAAGTGCCATAGAATCTTAAGACGTTTGATTTTCTACAATTGTTGTTTCTGCAATATTTTAACGATGAATACGAAACGAACAAACATTAATAGTTGATTAAATGAATAAATAGCGCGAACGCGAGTAAATATTGAACAGATTCTTAACTCAGCGGTGTAGGTGAAGTAAAAGTGAGTAAAATTATGAGTTTTGTTTATTTTATGTTTATTTTTGCGTAATTTATTGGTAATAATATAATCTAAGGTTATAAACCGTTGTTCTTCACTTATACCATATTATAAAATTAGTTTCCAATGCATAACACGTATTTTGGCAGTAAGTTTGGCGAACATAACTAAAAAAACCAAAACCTTTCGAATGTATACGAGTGTATACGAAAATTCATACGAATCATACGATTAACGACGGTCGCAATTATGATCAGCTGTGAAACCTATCATTTTCTTGCCATTTTCGAACATTCGAAGGAAGATTGTTTGTGATATATTCGACGACGTGCGATTGTTCCGATGTTCGTTTGTGTTCTAATAAACCGCTAGCGCTTGTTTTTCTGGTAGTGGCGGTGGCGAGCGGTGCGAGGAAAAGTGTTTTTACAACTTGCAACAATGTTTTTTCAAGACGCGCGCGGCACCGTTTTCCTTTGCGCTATTTTCCGCGTTTCTGTTATTCTTGCTCCCGCGCGCGCGTTTCTCCGCAGATGGAAATTGGTTCGACGTAAAAACGCAAAGAAAACACCGACATAAAACGAAAGGAGCGCCAGGGAAAATGTAAAGAAAAAGTGCTGGGAAACTCGAATAAAACGCGATGAAAAAACAACACCGACAAGCGCCAACTAGGCGAGCTGAGCGTGTGTGTGTGTGTGAACGAAATAGGAAAAGCGGAAAAGGGGTTGTTGTCATACGGTCGGTGCTGTCGCCCCGTGTCGTCTATTTGTTGTTGTTCGCGCTTGTAAAAACATAAAAACATAAAAATTGCGAAAGGAGCGAAAGCAAAAAATGCGCATGGCATTTTCGCCGCTTGGGGAGGACGCGCAAAGCCGGAAAATTCGCGCGTCGGTATCGAAGAAGTTAAGAAAACGAACACACGGACCTCGGAATACCGCAAATCGGAACACGTGGGAAAACCGTTCGAAGGAATAAATAAAATGTAAATAAATAAGACTGGCGTATAACTTTGACAGGGTTGTTGTTCTAGGAACTAAGAAAATAAGCAAACAAACGAGACGAGAAACGAAAATGTAAAAATGAGTGTCTGAATGAGACAAAATTTAATATAACAAATATAATGCAATTTGTTTAATTCAGACACTTGAAAAATGGCAAGATTCTTATTAAAAAAGAAATCAAAAGAAACTATTGTAAAACAATTTATTTTTGGATGAAAGGTAAGAAAGCAACAAAAAAAGCAAATTCCCTGAAAAAAAAAAAACACTAATACTATTATCTTATCATTTAACTTCTCTGCTATCTGTTTTATTATAACTTATTGCATAAACCGCGCTCATTTGTTTCGGGCGGTTTGCCACCAGAGTTACAAAACTAACCAATTACAAATAAACAATAAACAGAGAATAGCTTTTACATATTTAACTACTACATACAACAGAACAGTGAACCTCAACACGTTGCCATTAACTCTACCGAATGTTACTAAATGCTCAAATACAATATTTATTATTACAAGAATAACAATTAACAATAGGTGCGTTACATACATACATACAGATGAATACAGTTTTATAATTGATAAAATGCAAATATACGAATACCAAGGATCGTCTACGAACTGGAAATGTTATCGTTAACAATTCGAAGGCGGGTCATTTTATATTTTCCATGTATGTTTGCTCAAGAGTACAAATAATACACTTGAATTTAATTAAAACGGCGGAAACGAAATTTTTAACTTCTTCAAACTTGACATGTTATCTGATTGATGTTTTTCAATGCTCAAATATCCTTAAACAAAATGTGTACTACTTAATTTACGATGTTTGATTGAATGTAATTTGTTTAAAAATTGAACACGAAAAGAAAACACTGTTTGCGATATGATTTCCGATCGATTTGTAAGATTACGATTTCGGCGATCGTACGCTGTGAGGATGATTGCTGATTACGATGATGATGATGATGATCGCGGTGAAGGCGAAGTGGATCATGTGGCGATGGTGATAAATTATGAATACGTGGAGATGAATATGATGATTTTGAATCTCTTTGTAATATCGCATATTTAAAAAATAAATATGAATGTATTTGTTAATTTACTGTCCTATGTGAAATCCTACTAAAATTTATCCTGTGGCAACATAACGTTGTTTTTGCATTGTTGGAATTATGGATTTAGGTAGTGGTGATATTATTAAATAATTACGAAGTTTAATTGTGAACGATTGCCGTATATTCAAAAATGAGAGTTTTCGGAAGTATGTCTGTTCGATTTGAAGGCTCGAAACGAACTAACTACATACAACTCTGTATGTCAAAGTTACTCTAGTTGTAGACTCAGCATCTTGTCATATTTGATTTAAGCGGTCTACACTGCCCTTTATTATACCTAGATTTATGACTCTTAGCTTGATTATATTTTCTCTACTTCCTCGAAATAAGAAAAACCTTCTACATGGCACCAAATATTACCCACAAACAGAAAACTTAATACGTGAGAGAATGAATTTTGTCGACGAACTCAAACTTCAACATGCATGTTTTGGTCTTTTTAATGCCTTATATTGCATCTTTGTAGCGAGTTTAAAGTGTTTAAACTATTGGTAATGGTTTAATATTAAATGAACTCGCATTGTAGTGGACGTAAAGGTAGGTTACGAGCACCAAAATATTCCTAAGACGATTTTAATGGAGTGCATTGACAGTGATGTGACAATTAACGTTGGTTTATGGGCGTTTAGAACATCCTCCTGAGTTTAGCACTGCATGCTTATTAAGAACCTGCAGCACCTGTAATATGCACAACAGTTTTGTCTTAATAATTTTAATATTCGTATTGTGGTATGTTATATTTATTACGAATAGAACAATAATAAACATAAATTTATCTTCTTCGTTGAATTTTTTAAATAAAATTAAAGTCATGTTTTCTTCTAGTGTCAAAAATTAAACATAATTCTAAATTGTCTAAAAGTAAATTTATATTGTTATGGAATCGGCTATTATTTATATTTATTACCAATTGCATATTCACATTTCTTCTACATTGATTGATGATTGCATATCATATCAATCATTGTGTTTTTATTTTTATGTTGTGTTTCTATTTCTTTGCAAATTGAATTGTAATGTATTATAAACTTCATATAAATCATAAAATCGGAATCTATAAATGCGACAGAATTTTTTTATGTGCTATTGATCAAAACGTTTTTCTTCTTCACAACTATTATAATTAATTATTCGGAGTTATATCGCTGCTGAACTCATACAAAATTGCCATGTATGTAATCACCGTTCCAAACATCTAAAAAGTGAGAAAATACTATTTAAATATTTAGTATGTGTTTTCAGGCAATACTGTATGCAACCCAAGATGCATTACATGTTGCTTCCTGACACCGCAGGGTGGTGATACCAGCATTTTTACCCTTATATCTAGTTTTAAATAAAAGAATAAATAAATATTGTTCCTAGACTATTTATCTCACGCACAAACAAATTAATTAAGAAATCAGGCAAGTGAATCAATTTGTCAATAATTTACCTATACTATAAGCACACTGTTAATTTGTTGCTTCTTGATACAGGTGACTAAAACTTAGCGTGCATACGTCTACTATATCGAAGCACCTTGTTATTTAGGTTTATTTTTCTTTTTTCTTTTCTACTTACCGAAGCAAAAAACTGATAATCGATAACGAACCATTTGTTGTAACTGTAAAACTGCACATCGACGGGGAAGCGCAGTTCGCCGACGACCTGCACACGAAAACGGGTTTATTAAATTAATTAAGCGCGTAATTAATTAATCAACTAATAATCCGCTTTATCTGCGTTGACGCTGTGCATATGCTAACATCCGCACAAGAAATGCAAGAAGTGAGGACTTAATTAATAAACTCAACAACGACGTACGAAATTTAATTATGCATTTACAATATTCTAATAATATTGAGTGCATGTAATTCCTATGCGAACAGCTATATCTCTTTAAATATCATGCTTGCATAGTTGCATACAAAAGAGACTTACAACGTAATTTTCCGGCCTTGCCAAGATGGCGGCACATTTGTCTGCTTGATATTTACATTGTGGTGGTTTCGCCACTAAAATGGCCAGTTTTAAGCCATGTAGAAACATCCCCGGCAAGCATCGAGAGAAATCTGTCACTTTTGTACTCGGATTCTCTATCCAAACTTTACAGAACATATATGCATCGAATGTGGTCCATAAAAAGACGAAAATTATTATAGCTGACACATTGATGCGATGATGTCGATCTAGCTTGTAGGCGTATGCACTTAACCGCAAAAAACGATGCCTTTTGATATTTGTAACTTGCCTTACGGTGTTCTTGTTATTTTGTTCGTAATAATATTGATTTTCTTCCATATCCTCAATAAGTCGCTTGTATCCTTCCTCCAGTAGCTGCATCCGTTCGTAATATACCAACGCATCCAGAAAAGAAACCATTTCAATAAACGTTTCGATTGCAAAGTTGCTCAGTCGTGAGTACCAACTTATATGCACTTTATAATTAATGTAAAATAAAAATACAATAATCATCAACAGAAATAAAGACTTTCCAACATTTTTTACTTTGTTATTGTAATTATTTGATCTTTGAGTAGCGTTAAGATTATTTATGAGTGCGACTATTTTGTAACGTCCAGTATAGTTTTTGATGGTTTGCGTGCATATGATGATTGTTGTCAATGCTGAATTCGCAAAATATATATAATTTTTCAGTGTCAATGATCGATTTGGGTTTTCTGCCAGAAACTTACTTCTTGCTTTGTAAATTCGGTTATAAAACGATAAAATACAAAACATAAATAATAAAGTAAACAAATGCAAACGATGCCATTTTGAATTTCGTACAGTAGCAGTTGATTTGAAATCATATGGCGAAAATGCGAATAATTTTGACAACAAGTGCATTAAATCAACGCGTTGAGAACACATGATATATTCTGCAAGTAAAAGTGAAATTTACTTAAATATTTTACTTAGTTGTTTGGTTATTGATGTAATTGGACCGGAAATTGGATATTTCTTATTTATTCTAAGTTATAATGCCAACAAAATTGGTATTTATTTAGCTGATTATTAATGTAATGTTATTTAACATCAACCTTCTCTAAGGACTTATAACTGAGTAAACCGATTAAAATATATACTATACTATAGTATAGTCCAGTCCAGTAAACATGAAATAATTTCATTGCTTATTTGTATGCTTGAAAACAGGACCAAGTTTGTTTATACTTTATTGTGCTCGAATAGCATAATCCTATCTATATATTAATTTGAGGAGAGAAATTTTAAAAATTTTTCAAATTATAAAATTTCTGTTGCTGAACATAATGCTAAATATTATATTATTTTATAAAGTAAAATAAACCTATTAGATATTTTAAGTATTATTTATTATGAATTACAAATTGATTCTGACTTGGTGTAATAATATAAACTTCTATTTATCGCTGAGTGTTTGGATATAAACAAATGCACTGATAACCAACTCACAAGTCACCTTCCTTCGTGCATTTGCTGCATCAGCACCCCGATACGAAGCAGGTTTGAACATATACAACGCGCTGTAGATTCTACAGACAGTTCAACCAAGTCAGTTTTTGAGGTCGGATAGTCCGGGTGTTATTGTCACGTTTACAATGATATTACTCGGTAAAGTGTACTCTGATACGGTTAATTGTTAAATGCAATTCAAACAAATGTTTATTTGCGAATACTAATGAACACAGGACGTCATGAAAGATTTGATAAATATAAAATATTATGTGCAAACTGATTAAACAAAAGACAACCATATTCCAGAAGAAAATCGGTCGAATTCCAGTGCAACAAGGATCCAAATATTACAAACATGGATGAATTTTTGAGAATGGCACAAGAAATTGAACTCACAAACTAAATGATTTAATAGTATCTACTTTACGGTACGATAACCATTCTTTCATCAGATTGTAAGTATAGAATTTCTTTTCATTTAATTTTAATCATTTTCATTTTTCATTTTGTGTTGTTGTTGTTGTGATTGCAATTTTTAGCACTTTCGGTCGCGTTTATATATTATTTACCTCATGAAATTAAATTATTTGAAATTTCCATCAGATAGAGAATTTTTCAATTTACCATAATCTATCTTGCTTGATAATCTATCAACCTTTCGACCTTTTACTGTATCTGATAGAGAATTTTCCAATCTTTCATAATCAACAATTCGTTAGTAGCTATCGCTTTTAGTTTAAGAGATATTAATTATCAAAAATCGTCAAAAAAAAGTATCAAGCACCCCCCCTTGGCCATTTTTTCTTAAGAATTGAAATTTCATTTCACAGACTTCCGTTTTAACTATCCTACCTGATAGAGAATAGTCCGTAGATTAAGACGCTGCGATCAGATCCTATTTATCTCTTTTAGTTTACGAGATATTCGCGATTGAATAAAATGGGCAAAAATTGAGAAATGTCACTTTTGAGCACTTCTAGTCGCGTATTTCGACCTCTTACTGTAGGAAATATAATTATGTTATATTTTTATCTGATAGAAATTTTCCAATCTTTCATAATCAACAGTTCGTTCGTAGCTATCGCTTTTAGTTTAAGAGATATTAATTATCAAAAATCGTCGAAAAAGTATCAAGCACCCCCTTGGCAATTTCTTCTTCAGAATTAAAAATTTTATCTCTCAGATTTCAGTTTTAACTAACCTATCTGATAGAGAATAGTCCGTAGATTAAGACGCTGCGATCAGATCCTATTTATCTCTTTTTAGTTTACGAGATATTCGCGATTGAATAAAATGGGCAAAAAATTTTTGGGATTTTTGGGATTTTGAACCTGATCCATGCATAACACAAATACCATTCTTCGTCAGATTGTAAGTATTGAATTTCTTTATCATTTTCATAGATAACTTGTGTAATTATCACACGAATTGACCCTAAAAATTGCATTTTGTGTTCCAAATGACTAATTTTTGATGATTTTAGAGATTTTTGCACCTGATCTATGCATCGCACAAAAACCATCTCTTTCTTTTGGATTGTGAGTATTGAATTTCTTAATCATTTTCTCTCATAGATAACCTGTGTATTTATCTCACGAATTGACCTAAAAATTGAATTTTTGTGTTGCAAAGGACTAATTTTTGATGATTTTAGGGATTTTGCACCAGATTCTTGCATCGTACGGAAACCATTCTTTTCACATCAGATTTAAGTATTGAATTTCTTTTATTATTTTCATTCATAACTTTTGTAATTATCTCTCGAATTGACCCTAAAAATTGCATTTTTGTGTTCCAAATGACTAATTTTTGATGATTTTAGGGATTTGGCACCTGATCTATGCATCGCACAAAAACCATTCTTTCATCACATTGTAAGTGTTAAATTTCTTTATCATTTTCATAGATAACTTCGGTGATTAGCTCACGAATTGACTCGAAAAAATGAAAGCCTGGCAAATGTTATCTAGTTACTACCAGAATTTGAAAAATAATTGAAATATGTACATTTATAAGTATATAATATCTATATAAATATGAATTGTCCGTTAGTCGCACTAATAGTAAACTGAATTGTTTTTAAAAATTTTATTTGCTTCCGAAAATGGTCTTCATCTTGCAATTAATTAGCTGTAGTTGGAAGCGCCGTAGAAATACTGCCTAGTGTGCTAGCTTTGACAATATTACATTGTTATCCAGGTATAGTTTAGATAGAAGAATATTTGTATGCATGTAAACAATGAGCCAATAGCAACACCGCGTGGTCGTTTCAGAGCGCGCATTCAGTTCCATTCCAGTTGCCGAGCGAACCACGCGTGTTCATCGCAACTAGTTTTATTTCTCCCTATTATAAGTTGATCGTAAATCGATTTGTATTCAATAAGCAATCGACGACATTTATTAGAATTGCGCGTGAACGGAATTTCGCCAGATAATAAGCACGAGTGAACTACTGTCGGCCGTCGGAGATTATTTTTCGCGTGTGGATTATACTGTACTCGTGTTGGCCTGCATGTGCACGGCGTGCATGCCGTCGGCTGTCTAAGTCGGCTGAATAAGTAGACAACGGATGTGCCCAGAGAAGAAGTTTACACTTCCAACAGCCTTGGAGTTCCGAATATTCATCGCAGAAGAGTTGCAAATGTGCGCATATTGTAAGGCAAGTGTTCCGCGGCATTTATTATTTGTCGATATTTTTCTATATAAAAACTGTTTGTATTTGTAAATGTTGTCAATAAAATAAACTTAATATAAATGAATATCAAATTCATATTTGTTTATGGTATCCTCTTTGCCGTTTTCAGTATATGAGCGTTTCACACATATCGATATAGATATTATACACGTGGAGCAAGTGCAACACAGCCAAGGCTTGTGTTGTTGTTTTAAAAACATGATAAAAGTAGAAACATAAATATCAATGATAAAAACACTCGGTGGTCGAGTGGAGACGTGCACCTGCTGGCATGCTGGCATGCACGGATCGAATCTCAGGTACGGAAGGCATTTTTCTCAAATATAAAAAATATCAGGTGTAATTTGGGTTGCATATATGAATTGCAACGAAATATAAGAGCTGCACAAAACCATTTCTGTCATCAGATTGTAAATATTGAATTTATTTACATCATTTTCATGTACTAACTTTTTGTAATTATCTCACGAATTGACCATAATTGCATTTTGTGTTATGAAGGACTAATTTTTGATGATTTTAGGGATTTTTGCACCTGATTCATGCATCCCACAAAAACCATTCTTCAACCGATTGTAGTATTGAATTTCTTTATCATTTCACAGATAACTTTTGTAATTATCTCACGAATTGACTCTAAAAATTGCATTTTTGTGTTGCAAAGGACTAATTTTTGATGATTTTAGGATTTTATGCACCAGATCCCTCATCGTACGGAAACCATTCTTTTCACCAGATTGTAGTATTTAATTTCTTTATCATTTTCTATAAAAAAGCTTTTGTAATTATCTCTACAAATTGACCCTAAAAATTGCATATTTGTGTTGCAAAGGACCAATTTTTTATAGTTTTAGGATTTTGCGCCTGATGTCTGCATCGTACATGGACCATTTTGTAATTATTTCACGAATTGGCCCTACAAATTGCATTTTTGTGTTGCAAAATACTAATTTTTGATGATTTTAGAGATTTCGCACATGACACAAAAACCATTCTTCCATCAGATTGTATGTATTGCATTTCTTTATAAATTTCATAGATAACTATTGTAATTATCTCACGAATTAGCCCTAAAAATTGCATTTTTGTGTTCCAAAGGACTAATTCTTGATGATTTTAGGGATTTTGCACCTGATCTATGCATCGCACAAAAACCATTCTTTCATCAGATTGTAAGTATTGAATTTCTTTATCATTTTCATAGATAACTTTTGTAATTATCTCACGAATTGGCCCTAAAAATTGCATTTTTGTGTTGCAAAGGACTAATTTTTGAAGATTTTAGGGATTTTGGACCTGATCCATGCATTGCATAAAAACCATTCTTTCATCAGATTGTAAGTATTAAATTTCTTCATCATTTTCATAGATAACTTCGGTTCACGAATTGACTCGAAAAATTGAAATCCTGGCAAATATTATCTACTATTAGTAAACTGTATTGTTTTGGAAATTTTATTTGCTTCGAAATGGTCTCCATCTTGCGAATTAATTAGCTGTAGTTGGGGAGCGCCGTAGAAATACTGCCTAATTAATTGCTGCTTCATGACAATATTACACTGTTATCAGGTGTTATAGTTTGAATACACGAATAGTTGTATGTAAACAATGAGCCAATAACAACACCGCGTGACCGCTATTGGTCATTTTCAGAGCGCGCATTCAGTTCCATTCCGGTTGCCGAGCGAACCACGCGCGTTTATACGCGACTAGTTTTATTTCTTCCTAGCTGTGCAAATTGATCGTAAATCGACTTATATTTAATAAGCAATCGACGACATTTATTAGAATTGCGCGTGAACGGAATTTCGCCAGATAATAAGCACGTCGGCCGTCGGAGATTATTTTTCGCGTGTGGATTATACTGCACTCGTGTTGGCCTGCATGTGCACGGCGTACATGCCGTCGGATGTCGGATATCGCCCACAATAACTTTGATTTATGTTTAATTCGAATAAGTAGACAACTGATGTGCCCAGAGAAGAAGATTACACTTACAACGGCACTGGAGTTCCGAATATTCATCGCAGAAGAGTTGCAAATGTGCGCATATTTTAAGGCAAGTCTTCTCGTCTTCTGCGCCATTTAATAATTGTCGTTATTTTTCTATATAAAATATGTTTGTATTTGGAGATGTCAATAAAATAAAATTAATATAAATTAATAACTCATTCATATTTGTTTTTGATGATGGTGCTAATTAAATTTAAAATTTAAAAAGCACTATTTGCATGTCAACTACGCAATTCAACGCACAATGGACATGCTCTTCTTATGACTAACAACAAGCAACCATTGGAAAAGAGATGATTTAAGAAACCGATAATGGTTTCTTGTTGCATCTGCTTGCTGGTAGGACTAAAGATGATGATGTTCCATTGAATGTTCACAAGAAACAACATCAGGCAATATTAAATTATGAACTTTTGAATGCTGCATCCACAGTATTCGCTATTTTTCTATCCTCATGATTTATGTAGGATCAACAAAAATTAAATGTCATGGTCGTGATCCCGCAGATGCCCCACATCTACTTGACAAAAGTCGGATGGTAATTTATATGACACTCCACATGGTGCCTGGGTACTGTAGATGGATTATCGAATTATTGCTCAAATATTTTCAATTTTTTATTATTTTAGTCCATGTAGCAACATGTAGCACCAACAATCGTAAAAATGATTTCATTGATTTTAGGAGAAAGAATGATCAGGGACCAACCCATCGCAAGGATTCGTGTCACCGAAAGCCTAACAAATAGAAAGCAGCATAGAAATTCGCTCAGTGTGCTAGGTGTGCCATACTTATTAACCGCTATCCTGGTATATAGTTTAGATACATGCATATTTGTATTTGTATGTAAACAATTTTTTGTAGAGCGTATCGCAATAGCAAATATCGCGTGACCGCGTGCTGTGCTGCGCAAAGCTTTCCACCCGGTCACCGGACAACGTACCATCGCGAGCAGTTTTACGCTGCAGATCATAAATAGATTTACAATCGATTTATAATTCAAATAACAATCGACGACATTTACTGGAATCGTAATTATTTTCGGTGTGAAGATTTACACTTGTGCTGGCTATGTGAATGGAGTGTGTGTCCGTCGGCAGTCGGTTATCCCCCAGAAGAATAACATGGATTTGGGTTTCATTTGAATAAATAGGCAACGTATGTGCCAGAAATACCAGTTTGCGAATTCAGGGAGTAGAAGAGTTGCAAATGTGCGCATATTGTAAGGCAAGTGTTCCGCGGCATTTATTACATTTGTCGATACTTTTCTCTATATAAAATATACCTTTGTATTTGTAAATGTTGTCAATAAAATAAACTTAATATAAATGAATATCAAATTCATATTTGTTTATGGTATCCTCTTTGCCGTTTTCAGTATATGAGCGTTTCACACATATCGATATAGATATACGAGTTGGCGTGGAACGAGTGCTAACAGTTGCTAAGGCTTGTGTTGTTGTTTTAAAAACATGATAAAAATAGAAACATAAATAGAAGAATCAAATATTAATGATAAAAGCACTCGGTGGTCGAGTGGAGACGTGCACCTGTTGGCATGCTAGCAGACACGGATCGAATCTCAGGTATAGAAGGCATTTTTCTCAAATATAAAAATATCAGGTGTAATTTGGGTTGCATATATGAATTGCAACGAAATACAAGTGAAGGCAATAAGGAGAAATAAGAAAGCAGCAAGTGGAGAAACGGAGAACAGAGAAATAGAAGAAGAAGGAGTAGTAGAGAAGATAGAAAGAAGAGAACAAATAGTAGAGTAGAGAAGAGGAGGAGATAGAAGAAAGAGCAACAGGAGTAGATCAGATTTTTTAAATTTTTGGCCCGTGTCGTTAGACAGTCTAAGGTCGTTCTCCCAGAGCGCCGAAGGCGCTCTGGTCGATCGCCCACTGCTTCGATGCGTCCATTGCTCCCGGCCCATCCTACAGCTACGATGTCTCTGCGCTTCATCCCCGAAATTATCAGGCATATCAACAATTTTTATGGTGGGGGATCACCCCCAGAGAGAGGGAACTCCTTATAAGGACAATCCTTATAAGGTCTTGTTCAAATATTTCTAAGTTTTAAGTCGCCTCAGGAGAGGTGACACTTAAAAATATTCTTACAAGTTCTGACCTGTAGCTGAAATGAAAGAAGGAGCACACAAATCACACAAGATACCTTAACAATTTTTATAGTGGGGATCATCCCCTGAGAGAGGGAACTCTCTTAGAGACCTGTTCCTGAAATGATAGAAGGGGTACATTCAAAGCATAAGACATAATATTTCTTAACACTTCTTTATTATAATATTCATAAAATTCAAAACTAGAATACACAATTCTTACAAAATACATGTCGACATTTTGAAACAAGTCTTACAACTAGCATACGCCGGTAAATACAGACAAGTACGACAGGAACCGAAATTCACAAAGGAAAACACATAGCAGTCCCAAATGTTCTCATCTTACGTAAAACAACTCTACAGGGTGTTAAAAAAGCAATATTATTAAAAAAAACTATTCAAAGATCAAACAGGAAAACATATATTCACTACTGTGGAAAATTGATATACAGGGTGTTGCAAAAAGAAAATGATAAATTTTTATAGGAAAATTCATAGTACAAGTAAAACACATCGATTTTCAACACCTTGGAAAATTTATATACAGGGTGTTTCAAAAAGAAAGTACTAAAATTTTATAGAAAAAATCACAGTGCAAGTAAAAACATATACAGAGCGTTACAAAAAGATATTATTTTAAAATAAAACCAAAAGTGCAAGAAGAAAAAACATATGTCATAGCCACCTTTTATGTGAGCGCACAGAAAACTAATATACAGGGTGTCACAACAAAGCACTACATTACAAAAGAAACTTCCAAGTAAGACGAAAAACATTCGAAAACAATAAACTGTTCTCATATCGAAAGCTAGAAGAACAAACATACAGGGTGTTACGAAAAGTAAATTACTATATTTATAAATACAATCACAAGTACTAAAAGCACACTAAAAGAAAAACACGTAGGAACAACAAATTTGGTCATTTTTCATTCAAACGCAAGAAAAGTAATTTTGCGCCCCAATCTTTAGAGTGTCGCACACGCAAACGCGGAAGGATATTGAAATCGTGTTTTACAAATAATATACAAGCATCAATTAATTGTGACTGCTAAACGCGTTAAAGCTAGTATAGAATTAATATTACAAAAAGAAGAATGTAAGCTGAACGATCCATGAAAACCATTTTCAACATCGAGACCGTTAACGCAGCCGACGGCACGCGACAATTTTGAGTTATAATCGTACGCTCAATTAAAGACAAAAATGTGGCAATGAATTAATAATATTTACAAACTTGCTAATATAGCGGGCAGGTCAAGAAAGTACTGAAACAAAAAGAACACGGGTGTTAGAAATAGCACTATGCTGAGCACACTGAGGAGTATTAAGTCCGTTCCGACGGTTTATGGTCTTGCATTGCAAACGGTATTTTGATCGACAATGGACCGATCTTTGCGAGCAAATAGACATGCATAATTGCAAGTGAAATCCGGTCGGGTATATACGTTAATTACACTCACTCAAAATAACAATTGTAAACATATTTTCATTTCTACTTCTCGGCATCGGAATAATCCATTGGCCGACGGGTCACAAACACTCAAATGAAGGCACAAGTTTTATAATTATTTCACGCACAAACCATCGTTAGAAGAACACTAAACACGATTATTGTCATTAAGTGCCCGTATTTATGCCGATTTATAACAATAAAACTAATGCAATTAAGTTACTTTAAATGAAAGAAGGAAAGGTGACGAGCCAAGTGTAGATAAGAACAGACTGAAGCGTTCGAACATTCGTAGCGCTAGCGCAGCATAGAGCTGGTTCCACGCGATAAAAAAGTTGTTTATACACAAACCCCGATAACCGTGAAATGCATCGAAACATCTTTCGACCGAAAATAATTGTATGGTATAAATTCGACCTTGTCTTTCAAGCAAAATTAATTTTATCGAATTCGTTTGACCCTGTCTTTCGACCAAATTAAGAAAACTAGTGAAATAAATAGGTAATTCGATTGGGCATTTAAAGGCACATCTGCGGAGTTTAAAATATCAAAAAGGAGCATACATTGAAAAGGGACTCTTTGGATATCATATGACAGTAAAATATCCTAAATTGTTCAATTATTACAGGAGATACCGACTGTTTTCCATTCACATTTTTAGAATTTTAACAGAAATATCAAATTTTAACCCGCATTTTAAAGCACTTTCCAAGGATTTAAAGGAACGAGCAGGTACAGACGTTATAAAGAAACTGTAAAACTATCATAGGAACTCTAAATAATCTAAAATTTTCAATTGCTGCAAGAGATATGGGTCGTTTTACACGCCTACTTTTCGAAGTTCAAATAGGCAATTTCGAGTTTAAATAGGCAAAAAGCTGCGGATGTTATAAAGGGAGTCTTAAACTATTATAGTACCATAGGACAGCATTAGTTGTTCCCTTGTTACCGGCTGTTTTCCACTCCCACTTTTATAACTGTTGAAGTAATATTAAATTTTGACCGATATTGTGCTTAAAGGGACGGGAAGGTACACAGATTACAAACGAATTCTTAAACTCTCAAATTTAGACTCTAAATTGTTCCATTACTACTAGAGGTACGAGCCACCCATTCACACCTACAGAAGTTTTAAGCAAATATTTCGACGGACATTTCAGAACTCTTCCAGAAGATGTAAACGTAAAATAACATAGTTTTTAGAAAATTGCACCTGAAAACACGGCGCACCTTTATTGAATTACTTATATGCATAATCTACAACTTCTTTTTACGTTTGCTGCTTGCCCTCGCACCAATTTACACACACAACGCACCACGCTTGCGTTCAGCGCGCCCGCATTGATCAACAATAACAATCGAATCGGCTAATTAATGAAACATCCGATTCACGATCAATTAACATTAACAAAACAATCGATTCATGGTAGTGTTGTTAATTGTTCCGCATAGTCGCGCATGTATTCTTTGACGTATGTTTTTTGGCAATGTTCAAGTTGAAAAAAATGGCACTCACTTTAATTCTCTTGGTAACGCTCAACTTAAAAAGTGCCGCTTTGTTCAATGACTTAGAGTCGATTAGAAGTACACATTACACGTGTTGTTAATTTTTGGGGACTCGTCATGACTAGTGTGTGACTTTGTACATTAGTTATTGCGTGTTTTACACATATGTAAATGTAAATTGATCTCACGTTGTAGCGTCCTCTTTGTACATGATATTCGCATGTGAGATATACGAGAACGAGTCTTATATAAAAAAAGAAGTAGATTCTCTCACTAAATATTTCCACTACTACGAAACTTACTAACGATAAGAAGATACACATTTTGTTGCGTCATGTCGAAAAACTATCAAACTATCGAAACTCAAGTCTACATGCTATAAAGGGAAGAAATGAGGGTGAATGCCACGTCACTTTGAGAATAATCCAAGCTTAAGGGGATGAATTGGTCTGGACTGCAGTAATTGTAGAGAACGCCATCATTCGGCGGCCGCCACCTCCTGGGGTGTAGGAATTGCTGGTGTGATGGGTAATGTAGTCGGCGCAGCGGTTGCATCTGATTCAGGAGTCTCTTCGTTTTGCTGCTTTTCAAATTCCTTCTTAAAGTTTTCGATATCTTCTTGGCTGTAACACACAATGCATTAAAAGACCGTTCGAACAATAAATTTAGTATGTATTGAGCGAATGATGAAAAAAAGGACATGATCTTGAAATGTTGTTGATTCTACTCGTAGGCAAGGTCAATATACAGGAATACATAAATGCACATTGCGGGGAACTGCATAGACTTGACGAAAATGCTCGTCTTCAGAACTAAAACCCGATACTCTAAAATATATCGCGGCAGCAACCAAAACTCACCTGATCTGAACGAAGAGAATTCCATTGATGACATTCAACATATCCAGAACTGAGCCCATCGATGGCGGCTGAATTTGAATTGGAGGAAGCGATGCACCATTCTTTCCAGTATAAATCTCGTTCATCTTCTTCTGCAAGACGACAGCTTGGTGCGTGAGATGTTTGAGGCATTCGGATGATTCCTTAGTCTTTTCATGCGAATCACCCAACTGTTGCTTGTAGATAGCATAAGCTTCCTTTTCATTAATCAACGCCGTTCTAAAGTTGCCCATGCAGCTCTGTGTCCGTGCTACTAGATGGTAACTCACCGCAACTTTCAGAGACTTGGCACCAAAATATTTAATATTCAAAGCTAGCGCCTTCTCCAAGAATCTTAGCGACAATTCATACTCGCCCACAGCGTGCAAGATCAAACTGATATTGCTATCCAAAAGTGCCACTTCCGGATGATTTTCACCTGCGACAATCAGTGCTAAATACCTAGCACGATACAGGAGTTTTAACGCAGTACTGACTTGACTGTTAGCAAAACAGTATAAAGCCAGATGCAAATACTCAGTTATAGTGTACGGATGATCAATGCCATTAACACGCTCAGACATTAACACGGCTTTCTGTTGATAGGCCATCGCCTCGGCGTGATCACCCATGATATAATTCAGTCTGGCAATCATACGCAAACACTGCGAGATCTCAGGGTGCATCGCGCCGTAAACATTGTTTAACAAATTCAACGCCTCATTAATCAACTCGTAACCATCCTTGAGATAACCTGCTTGAATCTTATTCTGACCCGTGGTGTAAAAATTAAACGCGTCAGTTGCTCTGGGATTAATATGCTTAACAATTGGGAAAATGTTGACAATATCTTCCTCATAGAAAATCTGCTTATTTTCGATTCGAAGTTGTAGTCTCTCAACAAGATTTGCACACCTGTTTTAAGGCAGAATGAGCGCAACATTGAAGCTTTTTGCAGGGTGTATACTTCAAGTGTGCTTTCAATATCATGTGATGTAAGGTCATAATCAAAGTAGGCTTTGAGTTCTTGTTTGAGCGAAATCCACAGCGATTTCTGTGTCATCATAGCCCATTCATTACTATCAACACACTGTAGCGGATTGTTGCGGCCTTTGCGCTTGTTGCGTTTTTTGTTATTCTTCGATTGAAATTCGTCTACGCTGCCTTGAAGAGGATTGGCAAGTGCACCCGAATATAAGAGACAGTTGAGAAAATGTGCGATCGCCACTGAAAGGTTCATCATTTCGGCGCCTTGCAAGAAAGTTGTGAAAAGATGCTTCACAGAGCGCATAATAATTTCGTTCACGGCAATGCTGTGTAGATATTCGAGTTGCTTCACCTTCGACAGTAAATTGCATACTTTACCAAGATAACGAATGTTGATTCCGCGATTATGTAAAGTTTCGGAAAGTGTGGCGCCATCCATGGGGGCGGAAGAGTGATCCAAACAATCGCGGATAAACGTCGGAATCTGCACTGTAAGCAGAAATTCGGCTGCTTCTTTAACCAATTGCCGCTGTTTGGCAAGCGGGGGGTCAACATCATCGCAGTGGCGGATGCCGGGCGAGTAAACATCCGGATTGAAGCGGATGTCAAACTCGGTGTCTTTCAAGGAGCCAACTGCCATTGACGCTGTCTTGACAATGTTTTTGGTGCTTTCTTCCACTTCACTATTGTCTGTAATACTTTCGACAATCTTTTTAGCTTCGTCCGCTTCAATCTGTTTAGTTGCCTTTTCATCCTTTGCGTCTTTTTGTGCTTCGGCGTTGACTTCATTTTTCGCGTCTTTATTGTCAACTGACTCTGGCTTTGTCTCGCCATTTTCGGTAAGGGCTTTTGACTTATTGTTATTCCCTTCGTTATTCTTACGCTGATTCAGCTGCTGTAGGTGGAAGGCGGAGTATTTGATGAACATCATGTATCGCGAGTCGGCAAAAGCGTCAATCAATTCTTGACGCAAGCAGCACAACTTGTGTTTGTGCTCGATCGGAAAACCTAGGAGCTTCACTTCTTTGTTTAGATCTTCATCAACTATAAATTGAAAAAAATATATATAAATGTCATGTTTCTTAACTATCAAAAGTATTTAAATATCTTACGTTTTAAAAAGTTAACATCTGGCGGGAAAGTCCTCAACAAATCCAGGATATAATGCCGTCCATCATTACCGATAATACCCTTGCACTCCACACTCGAACATAGTTCAATCGACTCATCCTTATCATTCTTCACATGATGCGGCAGAATCCTCAACTGCTGCCCAGCTTTATTCAACAGTTCCAAGTATTTCGGATGCGAGAGAACCGTTTTGCCGAAATCAATCGAACCGTAAACAACAGATTGTTCCTGCTCACGCTCCAAAATACCCGGTATAATACTCTGCGCTGTCACGCGATATCCACGATAATCTATGACGACTGTGCCCAGAGTATACAAACCAGGCAGGTCAACCGCGCTGTACACTCGGACACCTTGCAGATCATTTCTCTATACAAATAAACATAGAATAATAAATTATATTCAAGATTAAATATCTGCACATACCGGTGCCACAAACGCAGCAGCATCACCTCCCAGCTCCTTATAATGATCACGCACGTCAAAACCAAGCGAGAAAAAGATATTGTTCCAGATAAACATCTGCATCTTAGCTTCCTCACCGGGATTAATGGCCATCACGTTACCGTCAATCACGGCCATAGCACCTCTAGTTGCAGCGGCCACAAAATCGCTGTGGACTTTAAAAATAGCGCGTTCGCGCAGCAAACGCTCGGGCAGTGTTTTGCGTGGCAGTTCGCGCGTAGTCTGCAGTTCTTCGTTCCAGTCACGGGTTTGACCCGGGATGTGTTCTTCATAGCCCAGTTTCGATGAGAAAGCTAACAAAAAAATATTAATATCACCTGATAACAAAGTGAGTCAATAAATAAATACTCACTATCTTCCGCTCGAATAGCATCTACAGTATGTTCCATAGTAGGAGCCGTCCAAGCATACAACTGATACGGCGTAGCAACACGTTCAAATGGATGTCGTTGATTACGCTTCTTTTGGAGAACGCCAAAGTGCCGCTTGAACATCGGGCTGACCTGACTCAACAGCTCAATCAACGAATGACACAAATGACTTGGCGATGACGGTTTCGGATTAAAGTCTTCATCCGATGACTGGTTGATATAGAAACCTCTGGAGCACGCTGAGATATGATAGTGCTTCTCTTCGAGAGTAACAACGTATAAATACATGAGATCGCCATGTATCTTACGGTTGCCTGGCGGTGGATTCCATGCAGAAGTTGTCAGTACTTTTACGCACTGTGGAGCTTTCTGTTCCTTGTTGATTGGCTGTAGTGCCGACAACGGCCTCTCCTTGCTATCAGGCATGATGTACTCTGGCGGAGTACAATCCACGCTCTCAGCTCGCATCTTCTTCTTTTCGAGAATATCGCCCTGCGTGATTGTGTTGAGGAAGCTGAGCGAGTTGCATTCGACGCCATTATACGCATCGGCCGGATCAAGACTCTTGAGTAAGTCACGCACGTGTCGAACATGGATGCGTGCTTCGCGCATCGTGTACGGTTCTTCAACGACCTTGATCGTTGATCCTTCCTTTAAACCTTCCACATTTTTCAACTCCGCGAAATTGTCCAAAGTGTTGCCGTCCAGTTGTAGTGAGAAACACGTGCGATGGCATGTGTCTTCGCGATCCATTAGAAGCTGGTGGATTTCTTGTACTAATTCCATACTAGACACTTGAATATCAAATGGTTCCATTCCAGGGCAAACGATTTTTACAGAAAAACCGACATCTTGGATGAAAATGACTTCGTCTTTAGTTTTACCCTCTGACTCGGATTCGTCTTTCTCTTTCTCTTCGACGTCGTTAGCAACTTTTGTTTCCTTGCTATCTGGATCCGCATGCCCATTTTGTTCTGTCTTAATGACGTTTTCCTTCATTTCTGAAAAAAACAAAACATAAACACATGTTTTGTAAATAAAACAAATTCTAGTTTTCAAATTATATTTCGCGTACGGTCGGTTGCATATAGTTGCATTCAACTTTGCACACATTCCAATAAGTACAAAGTCCATGCTTTTGCCATGCATGTTTTCCAACTTAGAAATACTTTACAAACTCAATAAAAACAAGTAGTGTCTTTTAAGAACCAGACTAATAATATAAATCAAGATTTTATGTAACATAATGCGGCCGAGTGTCTGCCTCTCTCTGTTGGGGTCCAAGTTCAAAGATAAATGTTTGTCAGTTAATTAACAAGTTGCGGTGCTTTCTAAGCAACACTAAGGGTGTCTGTCCACGCCCAATATGCAAGACACTCAGACGCGTACCCGTCCAGATGCCATCTCCGAAATAAACTCCGCGGAAATTATTTTAAAATCGGCATCATCGGCACCATCCGATTGGCTGCGATTGAGGTTAACACGCGTTACGTAATGCAAGGTCGCAAAGCGCGTTGGAAGATTTACGCTGCCGTTAAAGAAGCTTGTCGGTGTAAAACGTTTGTAATAATAAGGGTTGGCTGTGGTGGCACTTACCGTCAGCCTGTTGTTTAGTGTCTTTCGGCTGATTCTCGCTGTCGGCGTCGCGCTGCTTGCGCTCCTGAGCCATGACACAGTCTTGCTGCAACACTGCAGCACTATCCAATGACGTCGAGAGTTCCCTGAAGATCACTGGCGTCTTTACCCTTGGCTAATAGCCACTGATCAAACTCCAACACGGGATGAATCAGGCTAGGAGAACGCGTGCGGCGCGATTTCAACTGGTAGGGCGAACCGCTGCAGGAACAGCGAGCATTTTCTCTAAGCACGTGCTTCCCTCGGACGGTCTCTCCCACTAGTATTCGTTGATCTTCTGCGCATGCGCTTTGGCACAGCGCAATGCGCACTACTCTACCGGTTTCAAATAATTGTGGACAATTTAAATTTACTATCAATTAAGACTGAAATCAAACTTATTGTATTGCATAAGTATCACACTTAGAAATTTTCTCGTTGTGTCACTCTACATATTTATTCGAACTAAAAATTACACCTAAACAAAACCTATTTAATAAATCGGATACAGCGATGTTTTGGCGCGCAGAAAAGTTCCATCAATTGCCATATAAGTTAATATTTTATTCAGTAGATGGCGCCAGCAATTACAACAATAGTTAAATTAATCTTTAGAAAATGTATAAAAGTGAAGAATTAGTAGACTTGTCGCATCAATGCAGTGTAAGAGTATGCCGCTCGTAAAATCTAAAAAAACACAAACAATTAAACTTAATACTAATAACAAATATTAAATATTGATAAATTTACACTAATTGCGGCTGATGTAGACATGTAAAAAAATGCTCCAATATTTAACAATAATGGCTTTTGAGATCTCATCATAACAAACTGGAAATCTTTCTTAAATTCTTCATCGTAATTGTACCAATCACTGCAGATAATTGTTTCTGCTATATTTTGGCTCTGAAAATGAAATTAAGTTACAAAATGAAAGTAAGTATGGTTACAGCGTACTTCTAAAAGAATTTCATTGGCATGCCAGTAAAATAACATCATTTGGATTAGTATTCCTGCTAAATATTCAACGGCCGAGAACATCATGAGTTTTTCATTACCAAACTAAAATTATGAGTGTTTAAACTTGTTTCAATAAATTTCAAGATATAGGTAGGTATTACGAAGAGAACTCGAAGAACTGACGCTCCGATTTGTGCAGAACAAATGAAGAAATCGATTAGCATAAGGAAATTCATAGCTTGGTCCAGATTATATACAAAACTAGAACCAAATTAATATATGCTACACAAAATACACGACAAAAATAGTTCAATATTGTTAACCTTAAAATTATAAATTAAAACAATACCTGATAATAGTTTTATGTAACATTATGCATTTGTTAACAACAAGTCTCATTGCTTGTCGTTGACTCATCCAGCCATTCACTGCCATAGTTGCTTTAACATGATTAGTAATATTTTCAATTTTATACTTCAAAATTTCTAAATTCATCAGCGCAAAAGTCATAAAACTCCACAAGAAAGCATCCGGAGCAACAGTTATAGTAGCCCCATAAGTCCCACCCATAAATTGAATAAAATACGCAATCCAATAATGATTTCTCCAATCAAACGGAAACCAAGAACCAAATATCAACGTTCGTTGATAAATCTCGTTTTCATCGCGCTCAGAATAAATCCAATCGAGATAATTCAAAGCAGGGTTAACAAACCACAAAACAATCGTAAAAACTCCAAGAAATAGAATCAAAATCGACAATTTCTGATTGTAACTTCGATATTTCTCAAATATTGTCTTCATTGTCTCGTCTTCTCCTTCAAGGATGACTTTTTCAACAGCGCGTACATCGTGTACCAAATATTTGATACGTGGAGCCATGAGAGTAAAAAATTTAATACAACTGCTAATGTATAACAGAGTTACAGAGAGATTTTCGATGAGATGCGAGTAGCGCTTCTCCATGTAGACGATAGGAATCTCGATGATTTCGGAGAGATTGAAGCAGAGGAAAAATATAAGCACAGCGTATTTGTATGCGGTATAGCAGCGACGTTTGAAGGGTGTTGTGAACTCAACGTGAGCTAGGCCCAAGACAAATAGACCCCACATTGCTGCACGCATGTGTTGGTCTTTGATAATTGCCATTTTGTAAGCAAAGTGATTATTACTGCGAGGTATACAGGTTAAAGAGCAGGAGATAGTGCTTGGGGCTTTTATAGGTGCGTCATGGCGGCACAAATTCAATTAAAAATAAATTGAACTGTTGTAAAGTCAAAGGAATCTGATCAGTTCACATATCAAATTTTAAAATCAGTGTGATTCAGTTGGTTTATTGAATATTTCATTGTGACTTTATTGATTTTTCCTAAATTTTTATGATTTTCATGTAAAGACGTGTTCGTTAATGCGAAAAAACATTAATTAATCATTTAATTTGTTTTTTTCAAGAGACATCTTTGCATTCAATAAATAATATTTAATTTTTGATTTCCACGCAGTATATTAGTACTAAAAATTATAAATTAAATCAAAATATGTTAATTTCGGAAATATTATATGTGTAACATGTTACAAAATATGTCAACATCAACAGTTCCTTTTTAGTGGTAACGATCGTTTCGTAACTATTGGCATAACATGAAATAATATCAAACGCACTTCTGAATAGGTGCAAAACACAAAGTAAATGTAATTAATTGCACACAAATATAATTTATCATAAAGTGCTTAAAAATATAAAAATAATTTCCCACATACTTCATACATTTAAAATCATACAGCCTAATATTAATTTTTTTAATATTAAATCTTTCAAAATCTCATTTAACTGTACGCTTGACGCATCAAAGCAACATACGAATACGCCGCTTGTAAAACCTGAAATTCAATTACACAATTATTCTGCACTTCTATTTTAAAACACGTCTGTCAACTCACCGAAAGTGCAGTTGTAGTAGACATCGCATAAAATGGTCCAACATTCAAAGTCAATGGTTTTTGCGCTCGCAGCATAACAAATTGCAATGATTTTTGTACATTTAACGGATACGAATAGACTTGTCCTTCCCAAATTGCAATAGACACGTCTAAACTCTACAAAACACAAATTTAACAATACTAACTATACAATAAACATAGTACAAATACTTACTTCAAGAATTATTTCATTTGCATGCCAATAAAACAAAAATAACTGCCCCATTATACTTGACAAATATTGAAGACTAGAAACCTGTGCAATGCCAAATCCACTCTAAAAACATAAATTCACAGAAAACGTTTTTTGTTTCGCAGAAATTCTCCGCAATTTCGAAATACTCACGACGATAACTTGAATTCCAACCACGCTAATTAACATGGAGCAAATTGCAAAATCCATCAGCATCAACGGCTTCATCAAGTCGTCCACATCCGTTACGTAACTGTTAATATAAAATTACATAACAACCTAACGCATATATGATATTATACCAACATACTTGATAATAATTTGATGTAAAATGATACATTTCTTCATGCAATGGTTAACGGCTTCATCACTGCTCATTTTACTCTTGTCCATTAGCGCCAGAGCATGTTTACCTAAATTTTTAAACTTGTACTGTAAAATTTTGATTTGTCCAATGGCAAAAATCATTAACGCCCAGTAAAAGATATCTGTAGTGCCAGTGAGGAATCCACCCATAACACCAGCAAAGAAATGAAGTGTAAAACTAGTTCCATAGTAGTAGTTTTTATCAAATGGTAAATAACTGCTGAATGGTAGTGGTTTATCAACTGTACCATTGCGAACTTCTTCTGATGTGAATAAAACAATTAAAGGATTTATAAAAAATGGCGCGAGGGTAAAGAAAACTATGATTATGAAAGCTTTGCTAAGTTTATCGTTCCATTTAACGTGGTATCTGTAGATGTGTTTTACTGATTCGTCATCGCCATGAAGAATTGTTTTCTCAATCGTACGGATTTGTTCGACGATTTTACTCATTGCAGTGCTGCGTATTATAAACGTCTTGTAAAATGTTACGGTGTATAACAATGAAACTGAAAGGTTGTTCACCAGATCGAAGAAGTTTTCGTTGATGCGTTGTCCAATGTCAATGTATTCAGTTATGGCGAATACGCCGAAAGTAAAGAGCATTACTCGGCTGTATAATGCGTGTAGATATTCGAGTATTTTTGCGTTTTGAATTTTAAGGCCACGAACCGAACACTACCAGACTTCGAAGACATATCTTCATGTGTTGATCATGTTCCATTTTGTCTGATTGTGATTTGTGAGGTGGGTACTACGAATGAAGCAAAATGCGTAAAATAATTCAGTGTTTTTATAGTTGTTGTGGGATTTTTTTTAGTATTTATGCAAGTGTGAAGAAAAATTGAAGACAGGTGCGAATTCAAATCCGTTGGTAATTATCGCGTTGAAGTGGATTATTTATTAGACAAATGAGGAAGTTGCGTCAAAGAGAGAGAATGTTAGAGTATAAAAAAATGTTATAAATTTTGAAAGGTGTGTTATCGTATGTGTATGGACTGGATTGAAGAGGAGGTGTGGTATTAAATGTAATACTGAAGGAATTCTGGGGAAATTATGTGGGATAGTAAAGATAATTGGGCAACTTGCTTTATTAATTTTGACCTTCAATAGGTTCAAAGTAAAAGTTCACAGTTCATAGATCTTTTCAAATTGGTGAAAAACTATTGGTAGGAAAATAATACTTTAATAAAGTAAAAATGTAATTTGCGAAGTGAATAGAGAAAATAGCGTGGGAATGAAAATTATTAACGTTTCTCGAAATTTTATTAATTTTGCGATATTTTGCCGCATTTTGCGATTATTATTGTAAATATTCAGTGCATAATATACCCTGAATAGAATATTTTCTATATGTTGTTGCAAGTGATTTTTAATATTTAAATTCTACTTGATTGCACTTTTCTACTTTAAATCTATATGTCAATCTAATTATATACTTGACGCATTAATGCAACATAAGAATATGCACCACACGCACAATCTGAAACATTTAATACTCTCAAATATTTCATTATTACCTGTTTTACAGCACTTACAGAAATTGCAGTGGTAGTAGACATAGAATAAAAGGTCAACAACTAAGTTCAATGGTTTCTGCGCTCGCATCACCACGGAGTACAGCGATTTTTTGCACATACATAACCGGATATTCATAGAATTCTCTCCTTCTGGTGCTATTGCAACGGAACTCTATAAAAATAAATAAACATACTTCTTAAACTGAACAATTTTTTAAGAATTAATAGAAATGAAAATAAATGCTTACTTCTAGAATAATTTCATTGGCATTAACCAATAGAACAAAACATCTACTAACATCGCCACTTCGTATTCCAGAGCGAATAATTGTAGGCAAAACCAAAACCAGTCTGCGTAAAATTGAAATTATTTTATTAATTTATAAAATTATTTTATAAAATTACGACCTAATAAGTAATTAATACTTACAACAATGACTTGGAAACCAATTGCAGCAATTTGCATTGAACAAATACCAAAATCCATCAACATTAACAACTTTTAATTTGTCATCCACACCAGTTATAGCAGAAATTAAAATAAAAAGATCAATAGCAAACACACAATAGCTGAATTCAACAATAAATAATTTCTTACTTGATAATCATTTGATGTAACAAAAATACATTTTCCTTACACAATGACTCACAACTTCATCCTTATTCATTTCTCTTTTCAACAAAGAAGCCCTGAGCATGCACACTCAAATTTCTAAACTTATATTGCAAGATTTTCATTTGTCCAATCGCAAAATCATCAACGACCAGTAAAATATATCAAGTATCCTGAGTTAAATATCCATAACCATTCCAGCGAATACTTGCATTCCATAACTCCATCCATAGTAATAATTTCTATCAAAAGGAAACCAACTACTGAATGGTAAAGGTTTATCCATAGTATCATTCAAACCATCAGGCATCGTCATCAGTACAATAACAGGATTAACAAAAAACGGCAAAAGTGTTATTCCAGTAATCATAATAAATCGTACACTCAGTTTTGAATTCCAACTAACATGCGATAAATAAATCTGTTTAATTTCTTCATCGTCACCTTCAAGTATTATCTTCTCAATTGTACGGATTTGTTCGACAATTTTACTCATTGCACTGCCTCTGATAATATAAACTTTATAAATTGTTACTGTATACAATAAAGACACAGATAAATTGTTTAAAATGTCCAGAAAATTTTCGTTCATACGGTTTGCAATCTCAATGTATTCGGTGATAACAAAAAAGATAAAATATATAGAAACTAAAATAGTGTAAAGAAAATGTAGATGATTTAGTATTTTATAAGTTTTAAACTTCAACGGCCATTGTCCGACAGTAGCAAGAGCACGAAGGCAAATTTTCAAATGCAAATCGTTTTCCATCTTGCCACAAAAACAAAACAAGAGCAAATGTGTCCTAAACTATCCTGTGCAATATATAAGCCAAAGTAAAATAAGTAAGAAAAAATAGAAGAAGAAAGTTTTATTCTTAATTGCACAGCGTCGTATATAATTTGCTGCTGTAAACAAACATAGCAAGAATAAAAAATTGACGATAATGAACGAGTTGGAAGAAGGGTTGAACCGTGTTGTTTCTTTCAAAACATTTTAATTGAGCGTCTTGCTTGTGATTATTAATATTGCAGAGTTTTTGGACGTCGTTTGCTTCAACAGCGTGTAAAGACTCTGAGTAGATAAAGTCACAGAATATTTCATGAGATATTAATGGAAAAAAAGTTACTAAAGGGTTTAGATATTCTTTTGGTTGATTATATCAACTTACTTTGATTTTTGTCGGTGAAAAATAAGTTTTAATGTTACAAAAGCAGCAGGTATCTTAAAACGTTATTTTTGTGTAATGTTGGTTGCCTATATTCTGACTATAATATTTTAAAGAGTTATTTACATATTTCGCTGATTTTTGTAAGAAAAAAATGAGCAAATCATTTAAAATAATCTTTAAATTAATTTCGTATGTATAATAATAATAATTAATTACATAAGACACCTACTGACTTAAAAAAATGAAGTGTCACTGAACAGTTTTGATTAACTTGTTTCAGATTAATATCCTCTGCGGCAATTAATTCGTATATTAATTAATGAAATAATAGCCTTATGAAACTGAGAGAAATATAAATACATCGCGGTGGCATCGTCAAAGTATCAGTGTGACCACATCCAGCACGAAAACGCAACAGTCGATCTTAGTCAACATTCAAAAAAGTTTGAAAATGGGTTTCCTGAAAGCACTCCTCATCTGCCAAATCTTCTTCGTCATCGGCATGGCCTCCACCTCTGAAGCCTGTAAATAAATCAATCTATAATCAATTACTTAAACTATTAATAACTGTTTTGTCCTTTGTTTCTGCAGCGATCATCAGAGCAGGCATTCAGTTGGTTGTCAAGCCAGCCATTCGCATTGTCAGGTTCTTCCTGACCTTGCCAATCAGACTATTGATCAGAGCATTCAGAATCTTGGTGAAGGTGGTCGTTGGAACCCTGCGGGGAATTGCTGAACTCACTGAATCATTGTTCTCCGTTGGCCGCCATCGTCCACGTCGCTCTTTGCCTGATATGCCTGCCCAGCCCAGCGAATTGGCCGCCACCAACAGCAAAGTGAACCTTCTTGGCCCCGGCGGTATGCTCGTCGCCGCCAGCAAGTACGTCGCCTAAGATGTGTGTTTTCGTGCGATACCATGATCACCACCCCCCGGCACGCTCAATTGACCTCCGTCCACCAATGGCACTGCTTTCTCTTTGATTTTTTTAATTGTTAATTCTTTTCCTGTTTTCTTATGGTTCTTTCGATTCGTTGTAATTACTTCACAGCGAAGTGTTATGGATTTTAAATAAACTAACTGCATGTTGACTCTGAAATTATTATTTTTATATTTTTGCCTGAGTATTTGAAGAATACATGCAGGGTTGGTTGCATATCACAATTATATTAGAGCAGTGAGTAAAGGTTAATATTCAATTTTCTGGTAAATGAAAAATATACAAGTCTTTTTAAAGAATAATAAGTGGATTTTGTTAAAACTGGCAATATCATCTTTCTAGGAATAATAATAAAGCATTTATTGATGTGAATATAATCTAGTTTGATGCCTGCAAGTCAAATATATAAATTTATTCCTGTTCCAGAAATACGGAAAAAGTTTAATAATTTGAAATAATTTTGAAAAATTGAAAAATTTTGCTATACACATACAATTACTTTGCGAAATAAAACTTTCTCAGTTTTTCTCACATTAAAATAGGATAAAAGTTTCTTAATAAATACAATAATAGTTTTTTAGTTTATATTTTGTCTAAATAATCACATATATTATTCATTTCCGTATTAACTCCGTTTGATATTACGATGGAAATAAATAATACTTTTTGTTATACACTTGATAAAAGAAACTAAAATATGAATATGCAACCATACAGACATACAGGCATAGCAATTACGATGTAGCCTATATTCTGTATTTCACTTAATTTCGTTTGTTTCATTTGGTAATTAAATTTTATTTTATATTCATGAACAGTGATATGCAAAAAAATCAATAAAGACAATTAAATTCCAATTAATTAAATACCAATATTAACCCGTCATAACTCAACAAAAGTTTAATTATATAGTTAATAATAATGTTGTTAATGTGTCACGCTCTACCGACTAGTACCTATAACAATAATCACAAATTGCGAAGTCGTTCCATTGCCAGTGAGCTTTAGTTTTTGAGAAGTCGTGCACGTTGCTATATTTTCTTACAACGAAATATCAAGATGAATAAGTACGTCTTCGTGTTCGCAGTCTTCTTATTCCTGACATTGGCTACGCCTTCAGGTATTATTATTATTATTATTATTATATTATGTTATAATATTTATAATTATAATTTTAGATGCAACTTTCTTCAGATTATTGAAACCTCTTATTAATTTCTTCGGTGGAATTGCCAAAGCAATCGTTATGTTTGTCTCAGGTTTGATAAACGTGTTTCTGGGATATTCCTACGTTAAGGGCATAGACGGGTAGGAAACTTTTTTAAATATTACCTGAATTAATGTGTTTGATGTGTTTCTTTTTTTGTATTTTACAGAGCCAGAACTGTGAACTATAATTAATATGATTTCGGATATAAACAACGATTTGATACATATTTAAAAAGGTAATGATAGTATGTATAAAAGGATTGAAGTAGAAAATCAACACAAATAAACATATTATATTAAATTGTTAGGAGTTAAATTAAATCTGATCCAAATTTAGCCACTTTCATAAATCCTGTGTTAATACAATGTTAGCTTTTCTTGACAAAGAGTAAAAATTGAGAAATAATTCTGAATACTGAGAAATTGTGATCGAAAATTATTTTAAAAGTTTAAACTCTCGGCCCTGTTGAAGAAGCTTTTAGTAAAACATTTTAATAAATATTATAATTCAAAACAGTCAAAACATTTAAAAACGGACATTATCATTCCCAATGGCACAAAAAGTAATGTGTGTTGCCTAGCATTGTAAGAAAAAATTGTACGTGAACAATAATATTTTCCTGAAATAAGATTTTTACCACCTGATGCAATATTTGCATTTTAAAGAAAATATAGTTTTAGTTCATAGAACTCTCTGATAAAATTATATATTTAAAGAACTTCTCAAAATATTAAAAAATATCAACTGTTTTCTTTAAAGATTAAAGAAAAACAACTCCTAAGCCGTCTTAAAACCAAGTCGCCAAAGTTGTCACTTCACCCCACATTACCATACGCCATAAATCTTAAATCCACAAATTAAACTCCTGCGCAGCGATGCATAGACAATATGCTCGGCTCTGGTACTTCAAGTTAAGTTTCTCACACACGGAATCCAAGCGAATTTTGCCCAAGTCACCGATTCGTTTGTTAAGCCCCCGAAGGCGGCATTGAATTAATTAAACCACCGCATAAATACTTCAATTTAGAGGTAAGCATAATCACCAAATTATTGTAGAACATTCAATAACCTACATTAAAACAATAAATAACACTAAAATTCAACTAATTTATGATGCGATTATGACCATACATCGTGTAATATGCCATCATGAATACATTTAATTCTTAATTAATTAAATCAACTCATATACCACAGATAATATCAAAAAAGCACATTGAAGTTAATCATTCGATCTGTATTCATCAAGACGAGCACATCATTGCCAAAAAAGATCGAAAATGTTGCTCGTTGTTGATTAGCTATTTTATTAGCAAGCGGTAAAAATCATAAAATTAATTTCCTAAAAATGTAAAATTGTAAAAACTTTTAAAATTTATTTTAGCGCATGCGCAACCAGTTGAGAATGCAAAGCAAAGTACTGGGAAAGCAGAACTGAAACCACTGATCATGCCTACTGCAAGACCAAAGATAAATTTTCAACGTCCGAAGGTGCCGGCGCCTCCACCAGAAGATTTCACAGACGATGACGGCGATGTACCGAATGATGTCGAGTTTGATTATAATAACAACCCTGACAGTGCAGAGAATAAAAATTTAGAACAAGCACAACGTAGGATCATCTCACCATTACTGAAAAATGTCAGCAAGATGATAGGAGCTGGAACGGTGACTGCCGGAGTAATATCAGGCGTTGTAAAACCTCTCACAGAGGGCCTTGTTGGTAAAATGATGGACTACGCTGTCAGTCAGATGAATTCAAAGAAGCCTGTTAGTCGCATGCTGGTTTTAATATTGGAAGCGTCCAAGTTTATTATGGAAATGATGGACTTTTTGACAAAGCGTGGTAGTTTGATTCAAAAGATCATCGTGGTCATCTTGAAGTTGTTAAGCGGAACATTGGGATCATTCAAAAATCTTAAAAATTAATTAAAACGTTAAATGTGAAAGAATCTGTATTTTACTCCTTGGTGTATTAACACGACCATCTAAATAATTCAATTGTTTGTATTTCATTGTTTTTCTGGTTAATTACCAGATAATAACCTGATTGTTTCACGCTTTTTGTAAATTATACTGATAAGATACTTTTGTATAAATAAAAAAGTATAAGTCATGAAAATTCATATTTGTTGCAGATTATAGACAATTAATAAATGGCGATGTCTTATTTTTTATTGTTGACGTTTATTTTGGGGGTTATAAATGTTTTCTTGGTGGATAAAGCTGAATGTATGTAAAATATAATGTTAGGCAATGTAGGCAACCAATATTATACCATAACATGTTTTAATATAATTAGATGGGATAATTATTTAATTATTTTTAGGCCAATATGGACACTATGGACAACCGCAACCACAAGTGGTTGTTCAGCGAGTTGTTACGCCATCATTGGTCAGTCCGCAGACCGCCGAGTTGATAACAGCGGTTTTGTTTCCGTTGCGAGTATTATGTTATATTTCGAAGGTTATTGCTCGCACTTTCTTAGTTTAACTTGTTCAAATTTGAAAGGTTTTATTGATTAATATGGTATTTATACGTGAATAGCTTTGATAATCACAAAAGAATATTGTTTGGTGTGAATTTAAGAAATAAAGCTAATGCATATAAAGAACTTATTTACTTATACTTTGATGCAAATTACTTAAGAATGCATGTAAAAACATGGTTCCTTCTGTTTTTCGTCCTTGAACTTGTATATCTTTTGAAGTTAACAAATTATTCCGCTTTTATTAAAATGATTATAAAATTAAACAAAAACAAAGAAACAAAATTTAATCATAACCTAATTTCGGTATATTAGGTTAAGTTTCGAGTTAAATATCATAATAAACTAATATTGAATATCTGTATTTGATATTATTGATTAGTAAAAACAAAAAAATTCAAGCAAAAAGTAACCAAATCACACACTGTGATTGATAACATCCATAACCTCAATTAACCTCAATTACCAAATACCCGCAGTCTCATCATGTTAATTGAATAATTTTATGCTTCATTATTATGACGCCTGTGTAATTACGCTCGCAAATATGATATAAATCGTGCACAATGCATCTTTATTTACAGTTTACTTAATTTTGTTGCTTGGTGTGTTAGGAGATACTTGGTGCAGCACAATGGCGAAATTTTTAAGTCTTCTTCACACCGTCGTGATCTTGGGGCTTATGGTTCTCATCTCCAGGACACAAAGTAAGAAATTAATTTAAACAATAATACTTTCTAATAAATATAATGTACTTTGATAAATTTAAGGCCAAATGATGCCAGCATTGGGGTATCCAGGTCCCCAGCAAGGTATGTATTCGCAATAACTGTAATAACTGTAACAATGCTTAATACAAGTTATCCAAGGTTATCCAAATCCTCAACATCAAGCAATGTATCCACCACAACCTGCACCACCAATGAGACTTCCCCCACCACCACCAGTGGCAGGAGCAATAGGACCTCCCCTGCCACCAGCACAGGTGCCGCCCCAAACATCTTGGTTACCAGTGCCGCCACCTACGGATGTTTTGAGCACTTTTCTTTTTCCATATCGATTGATTTGGTTTGTCGCTAAGCTCCTGATGCGCACTTTCCTTGTTTGATGAATAATATTATAATTAAATCATAGCAATAAATGGAATCTTTGGATTTATTGTTGTTTTGGAGATATTTAATATCGGATATTACCAAAACAGAGTTTTGACGTGTCGTAACCTAACCCAACTTTTATAATATTAACATTTGTCCTCTGGCACTTGAGTATAACTTCATTGTTCATTGTGTAGATTTTTTGACGTTTTAACAACAAAATCAATGTTTATTTATTACCATATAATAAATTCATTATTTTTACTTATTCAACTACTTTTCCATTCTGAGTGCTGTGTATGCAACCTATACTACACAAATCACACTAGTTGATTAATAAAATATGTATAACACTGTAGAAAACAAAAATGCTAAGAATGATGTAGAAAGTAAGATCAATTTTGCGACATCATAAATATATCCAGTAAAACGAGCAACAAAAGAGCTCGATTTAGGTTTTAATGCTGTACTTCCAACTACAGGCGGAATTTTTTCAATTGTCGGGCTATCTGGTATAGTTGCTAACGAAGAATCAGATGAATCAACAGATTCAACAACAGTTGGTGTTACACCTTTTCGTGTATTAGTTACCCATGGCCACAATAAGTTTGGAAGCTTTGGAAGCGCTAAAAAAGAAAAATTATTTACATTTTTACATAATCTAGGCAACATAATATACAAGATACAGTATTCATTGGGTGTAATAACTACTATTATACATTTTACTGTTTGCGTAAGACACAAAACAACCACACAAACAATCAACACTTTTGTTAAAGGTCTTAACATCTTGTACAAAAAGAAACGAATGATTAAATAAAATCGGAAATGGAGTGTGTACAGGTTTAAATAATAAGTATAATTAAACAATTAAAAGAATTAAGCGTGAAATTGTCAATCAATGTAGTGCTGTTGATTATTCTAGTTTATGACTATCTGCGTAGGTGTTGCTTTTACTCACTGGCATATTTATCTCAGCACAAATTTAATTACTTAACATTAAAAATTCGTAATTTTCCGCAATTTTGAGTTGGATATGTTTACATCTGCCACATTGCATTCCGTAATTAATTTCACAACAGACAAACTATTCCGGTTGAATTGCGATGTAAATATAAATAGTATATTTATTGTGCGTCTAACTTCTCGTATTATTTACATAGAAATTTCGCAAAATTTCAAATGCAAATACAAACACACAATCCACCCACAAAGTTAGATGGGAAAATTATTATTTTCTCAAGAAGAACGAACACGCACTGCACAAACATTCCCTGCGCTCAAAAATCGTGATATTACTGCATACCGCAGTTGAAGCATATCAAATCGCCGAGGGACGATGCTGTTTGCACTCGTTTGTCTCATTCAACAGCGCAAAACAACCGAAACAATCTAACAATCGCCCGAGGCAGGTTTGATATACTCGTAACCTACAATAAATATAAAATTTAACTTTTTAATACTTTTAAGTGTATTTCAGTGAGTTAATAACTAAATAAATTATTCTGTTTTTATTTAATTCTTAGAAATGTGTATAATTCAGGTCTGATTATACGAATTAATCAATTTTCAGGCCGCCCTCGGGGACCATTCGCATTCATTCCGGAAGTGAATTGCGTTTCGCACTTGAACGCATTCATTATATCACTGAATCCAACTGCAAGGTTGCAGCTTGTATGCTAATAACGTCACAACCAGCGCGTTACAGCCCTATCAATCGTGAACGCATAACATGCGTGTATCAATAAAATCGTGACGATTGCGAGTGTTAAATTTATTGTGTAGGAGTGTTACGTGCCAATGACGCAATAATAAACATACTGTTTTTAAGAACTACTCTGGAATATCATATTTAAGTTTATATTTTGATTCTCAAAAATGCCAATAGGATACGTAGGTTATTTGTGAGTTTGAACACTAACAAAAATTTTGTTAGAAATGCTGATAGTTACATGACAATTGCAATGAAAAATGTTGGTATAAATGTGATGTGACGTGTCTTTTCAAGAATAAAAGCTAATAATAGTTATTCTTCTTCTTATGGAATGAATAAAGTACAAATGACCCAGAAACATAAACAAATACTGATTTATAATTCTATTTCTAGAAAATACAGTATAATGACTACAAATATAGAATGAACTACAAGGGGATTCTTTCTCGTAATCTGATTTGGCTTTTGTTGCGCAAATTACGCAAAATACTCAAAGACTCAAAATAAACTAACAAAATTATATGCGCATATGATTGTAATATTATCGCCTAGTTAATATCGCGATTAATTTTGTTACACACCATAATTCCGCACTAAAAACACTCGTAATCCTGCAATACTATACGCGTGTGCATATTGTTACGGTTGTAAAATATCGTATACAATAGAAGTATCAAACTATCACAAAAACCTAACCTAATACACCATAAAAACAACACTATCGGTTGCTAGGGTTATTTTAGGTTACGGTTAGTTGAAATGTAATACGTGTCTCTACAATTAGCACCCAGTGGTGCGATTGTATAACCTCCAAATTACGTATTTATAGCAAGATACGTAATTTAGCACTACAACAATATCAGTTTACATGCTGGAGATTCGAGTAGCTGAAATTAACTAACAGAGGAATTAATATGACCAACTTGTACTTTAAAAAATACTAAACTATCGTCTAGGCCTCTGCAAAGATAATTTTTCTAATGAATTAAAAAATTTTCAGAAATTAGCCATAGTTAACCCAAAATTAAGTCCCGTAAGTAATGGTTGATGACAACCCACGCGAAGAGCGACGACGTCGACGATGACGGAGGCGGTAGCCGCGGCGGTGGTGGCAGCGGCGGCGGCGCAAGCATAAATACGCCAGCGTCGTGAAATTCGCGCGAAAAGTTTCACCCGAGCGCGCGCCGCTCCACACATCGCATCAAGTCGCCATCGGTGAAGAACTAACTCACCACTCGACTGACTAGTGCACATCAAACAATTCCTGGCGCATTCAAATCTTCATGATACTTTGAGGGTGAGTACAACAATTAAAACTAATTAAAATATAAATAAAAATTAAATTAAGCGTAAAATTTTGCACGAAATTAGTTTTCATTCACTCACACACCGTGCTGATTTCCTCTGCATGGGTAATTTTCATTAAAGTACCTATCTTACGGCTTCCGGTATTCAATTTACAGGCCTTTAGTGTTTAGTGTTTTGCACTTAATCTCCCGACCCGTGTTTGACACCGTTTTGCATGTATTTATTACGCTTACATATTATACACTGGTTGAAGATGTGAACGCGAACACCTTGACTGTCTCCGTCTCAACTTGTTGCAACTTGCATTAGACACTAACTGGTTGAATGCGATTTCAATCTGGATTTTCTCGCGTCGGAAAACGGCGCTGCGTCTAGTCAAGAAATTTCACATTAGTTGATTAATTAATTTCCAGTTTGTTACGCTAATACGTACCAGATTACGACAGATTCTGGGAAGTGCAAAAGTGTAAATGTCTAAATGTCTTCAATTTGAGGCGTAAATACTTTTGGTGTAATGTTGGTTGCCTAAACATATATCTTATCTTAGTCGGATTATGAAACAATTTGTATTTATTATTGTTTTGTCGCATCGTTCCGCTTGTCGCATTAGATTAAATAAAACAATTTTTCTTACTTGGCCTCCTGCCCCCTCGTGTGTGAGTTATCATCCCAAGATGGATTCGCATTGCGATGGTCATCGTGGTTGACTATGATTGATCGCAGCGGCCCGCGAGATGACAAACCGATTTCCACAATCTATTTGTAATCGATGACGTTAACAAGCTTCCAAAAAAATACACTAAACAACACGAGACAATAAATAATTGAATTTTAGAGTGGTGCTGTTTTTGTAATACAATATTTAGTACATATTAACGAAAAAAAAATTTTTATAACAAAAGAAAAATTAAAATAAAACAAATAGAAAATGGCGGTGTGTGAAAGTGTGGCACGTGGCTACGTGACAAACGAGAGAAACGCTGGAAAAGATAGTTGGTTGAAACCATTGTTGATTCTGTTATTTCCGTTTGGTTTTAAATCATTTATTGCAATTTCAATACGTGCGTGCATCGAGATTTACATAGTTTTCAATTTTCATTATCTACCTGCGCCTTCAGTTTTTATCTATAAATTTTTAAATAGAAATGATTTTTAATTTTAATTAAAATAAACTCATTCATAAATTTAATTAATATTTTAACATCCAAGTTGAAACAATGACGTATATTTCTTTTAATCTTTAATTAATTAATAATGACGTATCAATTACTATTTTTAATCACTGCTGTTGATTACGCAGTAGTATATTTTCAATAATCTTAAATTTTTACGACTGACTGATAATTTTTTACGATTGCACATTACAAAATTCAAGTTGAAGGTTAAATCAAAGTCGATTAAACAGCGATCAGCTGCAAATATCAACGAAACAAAGCATGAAATTGTGCCTGATAATAATAAATGAATGTAAATATGCGTGTCGTGCCGTTTTCGCTCTTTAGGGAGCTTATCCGCGTCGCGCACGAAACGCGAAAAACTTTGCGTGCGATTAACCATAAAACGTCTACAAGATGTGTGTAAGTGTACCGAATCATTTCCGTAATTTCATTAATATGATGATAGTAATCAACATTATCAGGCGTTTGTTTTAATCAGAATAATAAGTTAATTAAAACGTTACACAAGCTGAGATGTTTAAACTCAAACAAAGTTTTAGCGTCAAGAGGCAAAATTCAAATTCATTTTGCGATAATTTTAATAATTAATATCACGGACGATCTGCGCAAACATTTCGCCGTTCGTTTCGTTTAACTCTCGACACGCAGCGCGAGGAGATAAATTTTTTTTTTTGCGCTTGCTTTTGGAAAGTGAAGAAGCTGAATTTGTTTCCGGACACTTAAAGGCGCAAGAAGTTCCGATGCGTAGAGTTAAAAATATTCAAAGTTGAAAAATTATAATTTATTGATCGCTGTTAATCTAACAAGTGTACAACTTTGTTTGCACTTAAGAAATTAGTATTCATTTTGATAAAAGTGATAATAATTGAAATTAATATTTTATTTCTTGACGAAAAATGTAATTTTAACTTCAATTTTCTTTTATTTTCTTGATTGTATTCAGTACAAATGACATTTTTAACCTCAAATTAACTCTGAAGTCAAGATTTACAAGATATGCGCAGTTAATTTATCGTAATATAATGAATAGTTAATTAATTTATTAAGTAAAGATCTGCATGTATAAATAATGCAGATTTTATACATTATTCAATCTATTACCTAGTTTATATTTAATTTTCATGTTTCTCTTGATTTGTGTTAACTTGGTGGCCTACAACATTTGACGCTGTTCCCCTTCTATTTACATTATGTCTTGCGTCGCATACAATTTCAATATAAAAATACGTAGAAATATTAGATTGTGAAATGCACATTCGTAATAAATTGAAGTTTCATCCAATATGCAAATATTGTGCTTGGCGTCTTTGGCCTCCACGTGAAGAAATTGATTTCGATGAAAGCCAACGACGAGCGAATCGCAAATGCCCAACAAAGTGCCGCAACGTGCATTTTCTTTGTTTTTGCATTTCGATTTACATTTGTTAGCCGCATGCAGCAATGTGTATGTAAATTATAGGCATCTGCCAATCTGGCCAATTGTTGTCTAGTCTACGCTGGATATATCTTAAATTAAATGAAGCCCCATCACGGCTAAAATATTAACTTGGTTAAATATTCATTTTAATTTGGAGATACGCGATGTGTTTACCTGGAGCGACTTTCATCTC